AATAACAGACTCTACAGAGAACCATAAACGCGTGCGAAATCTGTTCATAAATAATTATTATCTGCATTTCATTTTTATTTTATGAAAATACAATTACCGTCCTTGATATCATGCATTATCATCTTAAATAAGATATCATATAATCAGTTTGTTATCGGATGGAATTATTTTAAACACAACGAATATCGTTTTATTCATCGGCCTATTTGAAGAAAGATATGTTGTGCCACAAATCACAGTCTCTCTGACTAGAATATAAATATTGTGAGGAAAACCGCCGGTCGAAATTCATATCTGACATGCATCATTTACAAATAATTTTAAGTCCTCAACAGCCCAGACTCTTCGGTTCATCATTGACCTTGTTGTAAATGTTTTATAAAGTGGACATTTTCGCAGGTTGAAATGTTCGCGTTGTGAACCTTTTAACTGATCGCTGTGTAATTTTTTTTACTTGGACGATATTTGTAATATTTATATAGGTATTCTATTCTATTTATCCAATAATTATAAAAAATAAATCGAGGTTCTTATATACCGCTTTATCACAACCTAGTTAGTAGGCCGTCTCAAAGCGGTTCAAAATGTATTATCCGTGATTATATGGCCCTTGCAACCAGACAATATATTTCTCAACTCCCTGGGGAGCACACAGCCGGTGCAGGCATTTCGGCGCTCACAGCTAGCAAACAACACTTCTGACAATGCCCAACCACGTACTCATTTACAGCTGAGTAGACTGACACAAGCGGAGTAAAGTATCTTTCTCAAAGATACAACACAGTGCCGTGCCTTGACTCGAACCCGTAACCCTTCGGTCACGAGGCCGGCGTCCTACCACTAGACTACTGTGTCTCCTATCTATAACAGTGGCGGATCCAGGTGGGGTTTTTTTGCTTCAAATTCCGTTTGTCATATTTACGTACTGACATGAAACAGTTTTATGTAATTCCCACCGAATACGTCTCAGAATGTTCTACACGTTCTGTACAATGATGGCAGATTTCAATGATAACATAATAGCTCAAAAGTTAGTGGCGATAAAAAAGACAATAATTCACATTCCTATTGGGTTTGTTTGCAAATATGTATTGGGATAGAATGAAAAGGTGTTTTATTTAATGTTCATTGTGGAATAAAACTAAAAATTCCCATTTCAATTTTTGTATTGTACCACGGTAACAAAATTAAGTAAATAAATAAAGAATACAAGTACATAAGCCTATTACTTGTTCAGTAAATGTTACTGTGTTTTCAACCCTAACCCACTTAAATTATTATATAATATAATATTTACATTCTGTATGCTTAGACCCATTGACAAAAATTACATTCATAAATGCATAACACAGGTGTTCATAGAATCTCAGCACGTGGGAACTGATAGTAACCTGATCACACTGCGTAGTAATACACTACAAAAACTACTCACTCGGAACGACCGACCTAGATGCTTAATTCTTACATCTTAAAATATTATTGAACTGTGCTTTGTGAAATATCCACGTATTCACGTGTCCTGTGCTACAAATAAACATTGAATATGGAACTACATTTTGTTGTGTTATTGTTGTTGACGGTTGCTAAGATCTCTCACGATAGTGTCACATTTCCCCGCGAAAAAACACTGTTCTCGCCACTGCGTTGCACCCGTGTATAAGCAGGAACAAACCCTGTTTATTTGTTTTATTCGTTGTTATATCGATCCACTGAAAGGATTCGTCAATGTAAATATAAGGAATGATATTTATTTTTTCAACATTTATGAGGTCATAACAACAATGGGTTTTTGGACATATTTTACATGAATCGCTAACATTCAATATGTCCATAAATGTTGAAAAAATAAAAATCATTCCTTAACTAGCAGCTCAAACATTAAATACTCCAAGTCTTCAGTGCATAGAGTCATGACTTGAATTCGTATAACGATGTAGTCGTTTGCTTGCAGTCGAGTTAGGAAGGTAAATTACCACGCTGTATCCAGCATTCGATCAGTGTCATTCTGTTGATGCATTTTATTCAAATGGTTAATGTTACATTTATTGACAGGAAGCCTGTGCATGTATCTGCAGAGGAAAACAACATTTCCTGTTACGTTGTTAAAACCGATAAATCAACACACATATCCCCAAGCCTACGTCTGAGCTGCATCAATAACTCCTAACATTTTTCATTGAAGATCAACGCATTTAGCCTCACAACCTTTCTTGAAATTTAAGCTATAAATAGAGCGATATCTTTCCCCGAGTATTGACCTGAAATCCCTCACCAAATGGAAGCAATACGTACACAAGTCTGCAGTGTTGTCCGATAAGGAAACATACACTAAACTGTCGGCTTCTGGATTGTGACCAAAGTTAAAAGGGTGCCGAACTTAAGATAAACACATGTGACGTAAACTTATAAAAAAGTACACTGCCCCTAACAGCTGTTTCGTGTTTCCAGGTCTCATGATGAAACATATCACAATACAAACACAAAACCCTTGATTCTGTTTTTTTCTTAGATCTCATAAGTTTATATGTGGGTTTTTTTTAATTATCATTTAGCAATGGGTCAAATTATTGACACATTTTTTGACACACTTTTGAATTTTATATCTTTTTTAAAGGATGCAAGTTAAAGAATTGTTAAAATAACATTTCATTTGTTCTCATATCACAGCTATGGGGCACCCACACATACGACATACTGTGAAATACAGGTATTTTTTCATGAGGCCCAAATTTCGAGGGTTCCCGACAAAACACAAATTCGTCGGTACATACATTCGTAAATTAGGAATACCTCTGAAACGAACAATTACTTCATGTGAAACATGTAATTATTTCGTGGACAAGTGAATTCGTGAAAGAAGATTTCTCACGAAATTAAAAAAAACTACAAAAATTAGTACTCTCACAGAACCTGTATAAAGACCATTATGATATTACAGTACTCACATCGCACCTGTTGGGTCGTACCGTCTACACGAAACCTTTTTAATACTCACAAGGGTACACTTTCATTGTCGTACTAGATGATACCTCGTCTTATTTCATGTTTTCGAACGGTATTGAGTTTTTATAACAGTATTCCAAGGCAATGCAAACAGCTTGTGTCGCTCTGTGATTTGCCAGGAGATATGGAAACTATAATTATGAAGCCGTCGCTTGTATCTGCAGTAAATTGCATCATTGTAGCCCGACAAGTATTCTGCGAATGGGTTTTTAATTTCTAGCTCAGCAACACCAATGGCGCTTTTTGTTTTGACAAGAAATGTCATCATGTTCGTCTGCAACAATGCTTATATCGAAGGTCTAGTCATCTTGACGTGCAGTTATTGTAACTTCATTATTACTTCTGTCCTTCTAACTATCTGTTCTATCCACCTATACTGTTAATAGTATCTGTTAATTCTTTATGTCGTAAACTGACAGAAATAAAAATTGCGAAATATTTAATGTCATGGGCGAATTATAGTGGTGTACACAATACGAAGATGAGAAAAATTGATAAAAGAAGCCATGCTGAATGTGTTTTTTGTTGTAACAACCAGATTATTATAATTTTTCGTATTGTTTTCAACATATAACACTCAACAACACATAGCATGCGTAATACATTTCGCAATTGCAATGTTCCTTGACTAAGACGACATATTTTAAAAAAAACTTGAAATTTTAGCGAGTCGAAATGTTCGCGTTGTTACCCATTAAACTGATCACCTTTTCGAAATGTTTGCGATGTCATCCATTAAACTGATCGCTTTTTCGAAATGTTCGCGTTGTTACCCATTAAACTGATCGCTTTGTGGAAATGTTCGCGTTGTTACCCATTAAACTGATAGCTTTTTCTGAAATATATATGTTCATTTTATCTGCATTCTGTATAATAGCTATAATCTATTAATAATTCTTCGCGCGTGGATTCCTTAGCAAAACCTCACAACGTTGAAATCACAACCGTTTCTGACCAAGCAAATTTTCACTTCTATAGTATATACAGTTCATATGTAAAAATGTCTGTGTTAATGCTATATGGAAAAGTGACTACGGTCTTCTGTGGTCCACTTCTTTGTTAAAATATAAAATTGTCAAAACGACAAATAATTTCTTCTTATTTAAACTTATTGGTTGCAGTGTTATTTTTCTAAGACGACATATATTTGATGGGTCTGTTGCAATGATACATTACCAATGTAATTAAGATATTTCACATTATTTCTCTGTTGAAACGTTACATGGTCAAGGCGACAACGACCATCATCAAGATCTTCTGTCAAACATGACCATGATAAAATGTTACTTGGCCATTATGACAAAGCGTTTATGTGTAACAATTCTCTGTAGCAATGTTACACGTCAAAAATGACAAACATATTTGGTGTTTCACCTCTCTGCTGTAATCCTATATGGCCATAGGGACATATATCAGATGACATATATTTTCCCTGCGGTGTCATTGGTTGGATGATAATCACGTAGTGGTATGTGATATCTGATATTGATTCGGTGTTATTATTTTTAGAAACAACAAATCACTGTTCACTTTATTACCTTATTCCAATTATTACGTCACAATGTTGTCTGTCAAATGCAGTACTTTCCTCCGTATCATTTCATACGTTACATCTTGTTTAATGATTTCAACATGATATAGTATCGAATATTTCAACTAAAAACGTTTATTGCGGTGAATATGTGGTTATATGAACCCAGAAAGTGTTCTCAACCAAGACGAAAGAAAATGATATTGACCTCGACTTTATCTCGGTTAATATCATTTTCTCTTGTCCATATAACCACATGTTCACCTCAACAAAGTTCCATAATTGATAAATGTTTTATATGTTACCGATATATCTTGCAATACGATTTTGCAAAAACAAGAAAAATCCTGTATATATAACCCGACTAAGATAACAACATTTTTATATTGGTTTTCACTATTGCAATGTCAAACCTGATATAAATATAGTAATTAATTTTTTGAAGTATTATATTTTTCTATTACAGTGTGATATGGCCAAAGCGACAAAGATTTTCTTTGACATGATGGCCGAGAACACTACAAAAATCATGCTGTTTGGTGACGCTTGCTCTAACGTCACTGGACCCATGGCGCAGATATCTAAATGGTGGAATATGTGGCAGGTACATAAAGAACAGTCGTATATAATGTCAAGGACCCATCCTGTTGCAGGCAAAACACTAGGGAATTCCACCTAATCTTTTCGTATCCACAGAAACTTAACCTTAAATGTGTTTCGAATACAACTGTAGCGCCGTGGTACTTCCATTGATCACGTATCTCAGTGGTTAGAGCGACAGTATAATGATCTGAGGTCCATGGTTCGAATCCTGGTCTGGTACCATTGTAATGTACACTTAGAATACTCTTGTTGATTTCTTTTATCTATATATTATTTTATTATTTTATGTACTTTTCCCTTTCAACAATGATTTATCAAAGCTAAAGTCATGCAAGGAAAAAAAAGAATGAATTGCTACCATGTAGAACGTCGAACATTTTCGAAAGGTGAAATAGCGTTATGAAAATTTACGCAAACATATCCACGCGCAAATCTATAGACAAAGATATTATTGATATCAGAACGATTGCCAAAACAAACATTGCCTCACTGTGATTAGTTTGAAGAGTCACAGCACGAACAATTCAACCAGCGAAAATGTCCACCTTTGGTTTAAACTTTGTTTTATTCAAATTTTGTTTGACAATACATCGAAGTACATGTTTTAAAGAACAGGAAAGGAAACAAAAACAAGTGTCGTGACACTTATGTAAAATGTCCACCTTTGCAGCAGGCCTAGTATCGATTTGGCATTTCATGTCTTTGTTTTCTATTTAGAGCAGAGCAGATAGATGTTGATTCGTTTTAAACGATTTGATCGGGTTGTACCGTAATAATCCTCACACTTGATATATTTATTGTAATACTTATATTAATTTCATGGTTTCCTCATTAACTTCTCTTAACGATCGATCCCCGTCCCACTGCCAAAGCCTCTAACTACACATTGGAAACTGTTTCCTGCGACATTTCTATAGCTTTGATAAATCATTTCTGACGGGAAACAACACGTTGTTGGACTTTTTTTTAAACAAAACAAATCAGATGAATCATACAAAGTGTAACCAACAACAATGTTCTTGATATAAAACTTAAGCGTGGCTAGACCGGGATTCGAACTCTAGACCTCAGATTGTTATGTTATAGCTCTAACCTAATGAGCAACTTGGTCAACATGAGTGCCCTGGCTCAACTTTATCATAGTAATATCAAAAACGAATTTAAAGGGAATACTGCATATACGAAAACTTAGACAGCAGTGGGTCAGGGATCATTGAATATATAATATTGAGACAAAATGAAAAGGCATTTATAGATCGAAACAAGATTATTATGTCCGCAACAGAAGGTGTTCTGTATTCGTTTCAGACGATGAAGAAATCGACTTTTTGTTGAGTTCGATTATGATTAGCCCGTGTATGTGTATATGTTCATAAAGCGAACAAATATAAATATTGATCTCTATATTAGTAGCGACATATCCCGGTACCATACAACCTTGCAGCACTGCAATTAATGTTATGTCTTTGTTGCCGCTCCACTGAAGAGTGCTTGAAAATCCCATGAGGAATATTTCCTCTCATTGATTGGATTTTCGATATCGCATAGAGATACAAATGACTTTTTTATGAATATCGAATTAAGCACGAGCCTTTACAAAACCCAACACATTCATCATCCATACGGATACTTGTCTAGAGGAGTCCTGGCTGAGGAGCCCGCTTTGGTGTTGTTAATTGAAAATGTAAAATAATCTGTCATCAGCAATTTATAAATTGTCCAATTTCCTCTATTTTTCTTTCATAACAGTTGTCATACGCCGATACAGATCCAAAGCTCTCGGATCGATCGACCTACAGTAACTTTTTCCGGACAGTTCCGAGTGATACCGACTTTAATCCGGCTATGATCGCCATTCTCCGACACTTCAACTGGACCCGAGTGGGAACAATTTTTCAGGATCCCTCTACTGGTTCGGACAGATACGGAATCGTAAGCTTACATTTATTTTGATCCCAAATAAAATCTTGTATTGTAATAATATGATTGCTTTCATTTTTTGCTTCAGTAAAATCTGCGAGTACCCCTATTAAATAATCGTCTCTCTTAAGAAAAAAAACTTTTTCCGCATCGACCAAACAGTTCACTTCATACAAATACTTAATATAACAAAGATATCTTTTATACGACTTTTCTTGCATAATAATAATAACTTCTATAGCATAATATCATCAGCAACAGTGTTCTGACGGTGAAAAAATCAGCGAGCTAGAACAGGATTCGGACCCTTGATATCATATTGTTATATTGTCGTGCTAACCAACTCAGCTACCATGTCCATCGTCCAATTCAGAAAAAAGGCAAGTTACCCAAGATTTAGGACATATGTACATACTGAAATTGCACCGATTACAAGAGGTATAAGAGTATCAAACATCCTAATAATATTAGATTCATTCCATTTAGTCTATTTGAAGTTTTTACTCAGTCATTTCTTTAATAAATTGTCTGACCTCATCTATTCCGTCTTTGCGTATTGTAGAGTTATCTTCTCTTGTGAGCAGGTATTGATTGTCACGTCATTTGTTTGTGTGAGAAATTACGTCGTTTTCTCAAAATTTGATGACGTGACTCTCACAAACAAATGACGTAACAATCAATACCTGCTCACAAAAGAAGATAACTCTGCAATACGCAAAGACGGAATAGCAGGTTACTTCTACATTTTCATTTGTATATGAAATCAGCTAGTATAGTTACTAGACTTTAACTGTGACGATTCGTTAGATACCGGTTTTATGACGCTGTTTGCGCCAATCGTTACCTTTTTTCATCTTCCCACTATTGTTACTGTTGCTAAGTTTTACGTATAAATCATAGTTATTGTAGTAAGCCAGTGTACTAATTGACACTTTTGATATGTTTCAATAAAACCACGTTCCGGAACTACTGCCTACGCTATCTTGCGAATTCGTCTCTAGCAATGTCTTAAGTTGGATCTTTAAACTTCGGGAAATATAGATATAAAACATGTTGTTACAATAATTTTCATGTTACCGAGTTTTGCCGAAACCGTGAAAGCCACAGTTATTGTTTTTGAGTAGTGGCACGGTTCATGATACACACATCTTACTCGTTATGTAATTAGATATTAACTAGTACTTTTATAAATATTTAAAATTAATATTGTGAAGGGTTTTTATTTCCCTCCTTTTTCCGTTCAACATCAATATTATTTATCAACTAAAGCTATCTGATGTTGTGAATGCCGCCGTTTTGGTTATTACATTGATTTAGACAAACTTGAGAAACTTGCTGCCCATTGCAACTCATGTTATGAAGCTAAGTGATTGTTACATGTATCAATGCTTCAAACGTGACTATTGAACTGACAGACTGTACACATATTATTTATCATTCTGATATCATTTGAATATTATTACACAGCATTTGCATTTATACATATGTATCACTTATTCCAAGATCCAAAACTCTACATTTCAAAGACAAAACTGGCATGAATATATGCAATGTATAACGGATATAACAATCTGATTAAAATCATATGTTACATGGCTTCGTTAACTTAGTACTATGCCTGAACATCTGAGTGTGCCGCGGTCAGGGTCACGTTCAGGTGACCTTTATATTAATAAATACTCATTAAATTTTGACCAGAGACCCTCTTTCAAAAAGGGCGCTCAGTGTTGTAACAAATATTGCGGACATTGATGAGAATGATGCGAAAGTTCTGAAGTTATTTGAGATTGATCATCTGAAACCCGAACAGAAAAAGACATTCGAAGCTTTATTAGAGAAGAAACACTGTATGGCGGTGTCGCCTACGCAATTATTACCCAATGGGTACGTTTTCCCTGGCGTCGTAGAAACGTCAGTTCCCGCATTTTTTATGTTTTGGAAAACTAATCTGTTCGATACCCCTCGTTATTTATTTATCAACCATGATATTCCTATTCGCTGGCAAACTTTACCAGCGCGCTTCTGATTGGTTCATCCAAATGTCACTTGAACGTGACCCTGACCGCGGCACATTCAGATGTTCAGGCGGAGCCATGTTACAGATGATTTTAATCAGATTGCAGATATAATAGCTGCAAAGCGCTCTCTTATGATGGAGGGTTGTTCGATATTTTTCTGACCTGGAAACATTTGCTCATTTACTACAGCACGTTAGACGCACATGTTATCCAAGAAATGTAATTATTATAATTTCTCTTTTCAGAAAAAAATATTTCGGCTCCGCCAGGGGGAACAGATCCTCAGATCAAACTAACTTATTCGAAGCACTACCAATCATGATAACTGTTTTATCAAAACAATCGTAATATTACTGGGAAATAATTCCAACAGGTCCTTACTCCCTAAACATGCCGCAAGATAAAATAAATGTTGTGTATGAAGATAGATGAAAAACAGTGCAATGCCTGTATAATGTAGAAACGTGTTTGGGCTCTGTGCCTTCGTACAACACCAGTTGTCATTTTAGCGACGGCTCTGTGAAAGGTAGTACATGTAGTTCTTAGTCGGGAACGCATAACGATTTATCGTTCTATAATGGTCACAGGCCCCATCAGCGCTGATATTTCAAACGAAAAATGACTGAATAATTGTGTTAAGTAAATGAATTACCGTTTTATTCCAGGCACACTCTCGCTTAATCGAGTTACTGGATGACGCTGGAATTGATGCGGTGAAAGTAGAGAGTTTCCTAGCCGAGCCAGACACGGCTGTTGCCCATTTAAAGGTCTGAATCAACAAAGATGTAATGTATCACCCAAGTCCTGATGTATCTGTCGACAAACGCACTCTGTAAATAGAGTTGTTTTTTTGTGCGAAAAAATAGTTTTTGCTTAATTTATTCATTTACTTATTTTATTTGAACTTTTCTTTTTTTTTATTATTCAGTTGTTTAATTAATTATTTAATCATTTATTTTGATGGATTTTTTTTAATTATTTTCTAAATCGTATTTTTCATTTATTGTTTTTGCGAAATGTGAAATTTTAAATAAAAGAATAGCAGAAAGATATTCTTTGAGAAATAATATCGTTATTTTGTTCAGTTGTAGTACATTCATATAATAAGTTCAATAGAAGAGAGGAAGATATAACTGGAAATGGAAATCTTTGAAAAGTATTATAATTCACAGGACATCACGATTACTATACATACGCCATTATCAGGCATGCAAGACATGTTGGAAAATTATGAGTTAAACATATATATATATATTGGATAACAAGTGCAGAGCTGTGCTTGTCATGCTGGACTTGTCTGCTGCATTTGACGTCATCGACCATGGCATACTTTATAAACGTCTGGAATAGTCTTATTGAGTGACTGATACCGCACTATGCTGGATACAGTCTTACCTGAGTGAACGACGACAGTGTGTTGCCATCGGATCTTCCACCTCACATGACAAAGTACTAGATTTCGGGGTTCCTCAAGGGTCGGTGTTAGGACCAAGAAAATAGTGTATGTACCCCAAACCGATTGGAGAGATTTGTCGTCGCCATAGCCTTCGCTATCATTGCTATGCCGATGACACACAAATTTACATGGTCATCAAACCACAGGACAGTTGGAAAACCGTCTCAGAATGTCTGGAAGCTTGTCTGACAGATATCAGTATCTGGATGAATGCCAACATGCTTAAGCTTAATCAGGAAAAGACGGACCTAATCGTCTTTTCCCCAAAGTGTCAGCAAACAATGGCTCTCCAGCTCAAGGTCGGTGCCAGAACATTGAGACTGTTCCAGCTGTTTAAAACCTAGGGGTATACTTTGATAGTTCACTGAACATGGAGAAACAAGTGAACGCTATTGCCAAATCCTGTTACTACCATATCAGGAACATCGGCTGTATTCGGCAGTTTTTAACTGCAGATGCATGCAAGATTTTGGTGCATTCACTTGTTACCTCTCGGTTGGATTATGGTAACGCCCTGCTCTGTGGTATATCTGACAAACTAACTAGTCGTCTGCAGAGGATCCAGAACACTGCAGCACGGCTATTTACTCGTACTCGAAAGAGAGAGCACATCACACCTGTCTCTATTCGTTGCACTGGTTACCTGTACGATACAGGCCGCAGTACAAAATTCTGGTGTACACATACAAGGCAGTGAATGGAACAGCTCCTCAGTACATACAGGAGCTTGTTACCCTGTAACAGCCGTCACGATCACTGCGGTCGGAGTCAGAATCTTTGTTGTGTGTCCCAAAATCTCGTACTGTGATTTACGGAAACAGATGCTTTGGAAGGGTTTCGGCTACGTTGTGGAATAGATTACCATCTGCAATTAGAAAGTCCAATACCCTGGCCAAGCTCAAGAGGGACATCAAAACTCACCTCTTCACGTCTGCATTTTAGAATCTTTGCAAAGACGTTATGTAAATACCACCCTTTTATTTGTTCAATCATGTGCACATTGTTTGCTTAAATGAATAAAAGTGATTGTAAGCCTTTGTTTTTTGTTTTCACAATTATAACCATTACTATTATCCATATGTTGTAAAGCGCTTTAGAGTAATTTTCCAAATTATATAGGGCGCTATATAAATGTTGTATATTATTATTATTATTTATTATTATATAATATGTTAGCATTATCTAACTATCAAAGGTGGTTTTTTAAGATTATAACACACTTGTATGCCCATGGATGAAGGAATGGGAAATTTCACCGAAGGTGTTTTTAAAATTGGGTAAAGCCCGAGGCTTACCGAGAGTTTCTCATCAATTTGAAAATCCCGAGAGTGTAATTTTCCTATCCTACACCCATGGGCATGATAGAATATGTTTCTATCATTCCAATCAACAGAATCAGCTCAAAAACCACAAAATGTTGTTGTAGTTTTCGCAATCCCGATTACGTTACGTCACATCAATCTTATCCCACTGTGACGATAATTCTGACATCCCTTTCTTTCCCTGGACAGCTTCATCATTCGCGTACGAGATTGAGAGACAATGATGCATTGTAATGTTTCATAAAAAACATATTTGCTGCTCTGATATATATGGTTCTTACACATATTACGCACACATGCTTTAATGCATGTATGTGTAATATGTGTAACACATGCTTAAATGTATGTGTTGTTAATTCCTAGTGTTATTTCTCCCTATTAATATATCATACGTTTTATTCCGATTACCAAACAAATAATTTATTTATAGGCTGATGATGTGAGGGTGATACTTGGATTTTTCGACCACGAAATGGCAAGAAAGGTGTTCTGTAGTGTGAGTATATTTTCATTTACACTACTATTTCTCGAAATGTGTCACCCCAAAACATATATAACAAAAACCATTTTAAAACTAAAATAAAAGCAGGAATAGATGTACGTTTATATTTAACATTTTCTGTTTAAATATTTATATGTCATAACCAAAATCTGATAGATCTGGTTACTTTGTGTGTCTTAATTATTCAGGGAATGTTAGCGTAAACGAAAACATACCTGAATCGAATGGTTAAATTCAAGAAGATAAATTCTACGAGGGAATTAGTCAATCACATTTACTGTACCAAGTAAAGTGTATGCAGCTGTTTGTGAGAGAAGTTAAGCATACTCGTATAAGGTATTTTGGAATACCCTTAAGACAGAAAGTCCTGCCACGTTTTGCTGTATATAACCTAGCGCCACTACCGTGTATTATGTTTCCGGATCTACTGCCCGATACCGGGTTCTAGGTCATATGATTAGTGTGTGTCTTCGTTTTCCGGTTTGGGGCCCAGTAAAGCCGTGCGTCAACAATCAAGTGTGTTTGTGGTTTCTGTCTCTTACTGGCGTAGCAAATTTGATCAGTTTGTTTAAATCCATATATTCCATACTAGATAAATGCAGGAATGTGTGCCTTTTGAAGAGAATAGGACAATGATTTCAAAGTATTACCCGATCAAATACTATGACCAGGTTGTTTTTCGTAAGTCGCTCTTTTATACAGTGAAAGGGTAAGCACCTGCACGGGACAAATGACAAACAAATTGGCACTCAACTTCGCTGAAGCTTAAACATAAAGCGATAGGATTCTGTAACTTCATAGAGAACACATATACTGACCTTTAATGTATAGGGCATTTGTAAGGTACGTTGGTCCAGTCATGATAACAAACATTTATAATTTGTTCATAAGGCCCGCAGACGAGGGATGTACGGTCAGAAATACCAGTGGATTATCATGGGGGATTATCCTGCTCAATGGTGGCGATCAAACAACACCGAGGACTGCAGTAACAAGGAGTTAGAGGTCGTCATCGAAGGTTACATGTCCTCCGAAGTGTTACCTCTTAGTAGCAGCAATGAAGTCACTATATCAGGACTGGTGAGTTGACATAAAATACAATTGAATACTTTCATTTCAATAACTTGAGATCTAGTAGAAATTATCAAAACCTAAAAATGTTTTTTCAATTTGCATTTAATTTATGTTAACTTACCGATCGAAGGAATCCCTTCTCTTATTCTTGGGTAGTATCTTATGACTTGGATAACTTGTCAAATGTCGCGGGGTTTTTCAGACTTCATACGAGTACTTCCAGCTGTACAACACCAGTCGTGGACTGGAGTTCAGCAAATACCATGGTTACGCTTTTGACGGTATTTGGGTCATTGCCAAAGCAATGGATCAGATCCTGCGACATACCGACCCAATGTCAATCAAGGAAGAAACATTCAGAGGACCTCCTGTTGCCTCAGCTCTTAACGAAACAAACTTCATGGGAGTGACGGTATGTTTACTTGATTTCTATTTTACGGCACAAAATGTCGTGTGTTAGAATGTTTGAAAATAAAAATAATTGAAAATAAAAAACAATATATGTTCCGTGTATGGACCGGGTATTACCACCAATTTAATATGTACGCAATAATCATCAGATTGTTCTATTTATCACACGTTTTGTCTCTGATAATGTTCATTTTGCCCATTTGATACATGTGCAAGTGTTGTTTCCGTTGTCATATCTGTGCCCGGGCTGATAAATAGTGTTTACACCAACCCCATCTTCGCTAGCCAAGTGTTCGCTTCGTATACACTCCACTCACGTTTGGCGGATATAGCCGTGTTTATCGAGCCTTCAAATTTTCGTGCGGCGCCAATCGCTCGCATCCAATGAAATCGCGTCTTACATATAGCGCTGTTGACGAAGCAAAACAGTAATGGTGACGCCCTGTACGGAAGAACGTTGTCGTTTATGTCAGAGTGTTTTGCCCCAAACATATAGGCGCACGATCTTTTGGTAAACTTCTGGAGTGTTAAAACAGTTGGTGGAAATCTTTTACTACGTGCCACATTTAAATGATGACCTGGGAAAATATGTTTGCTGCCTTTGGATTGTTTCCATATTGCTCTGTCACTTATACTCCGCCTCGACATACACGTGCTTATGTCAACACGCCGATGGAGTGTGTATGTAATAGTCATTCTGATTGGTTAAGAGTTTATTAGGAGAAGAACGATAACTCGGTATATCCGCTAGGTGGCAGTGGAGGAAGTTATGAAAACACGGCTATATCCGCCAAGGGTAAGCGGAATGTATAAGAAGCGAACACTTGGCTAGCGAAGATGCACCAACCCGGGCTGATATCACTTCATCCGGGTTCTTCACTCCTAATTTCAGTTTTAAGTTACACACTTCGGTTCCCGGTGCAGACGATAGCAACAACAACAACAACTTTTAAATTAATTTATTTTCGTTCTTGACCAGATATCAGCCTGATAAAGGGTGTGATATCAAAATAGGCATAGGATAACCTCAAATTCCTGACATCAGAAACATTTCTGATGACCTCTAATAATCATGTAAATAGCAGAATGTCGTTTACATAAGCTCTTTGCCCATTAATGTCAAGAGGATACTTAATGGGATCCCGGTGAAAATCATAGATATTTCACGAGTATGGCAGAATACCGATATTTCATTATATTGTATTGGCAAGTTGTATAGTCACCATCAAATTCATAGAGAGATATTTTTTAATCCCTTGTTTAGCGGTCAATAATTGTAAGGGAACTATAATAAGTGTGCCTTGAGATTTACATGACGGGTGTCATCGATGAAGCAGAAAACGCTTCCTTTTTTCCGGAACAACTATTCGCCTGGTACTTTTTAATAAAGTCTCTGCGTAAAGCATTCTCTGGTTCATATTTTGCCGTAGTGTTATTGATTTGAGGTCGATTTAAGGTATTTTGACACTTCAGTATCCTTCGGTAATTATTTTAGCAATTCAAAATGTAGACGAGCTATTTCCACTGTACCGTATTTGTGCTGTTTCTGAAAACATTGTGAGTGAAACGTTTAAACAAAACATTTTTCTCTTTTTGTTATATATGTGGTTTCTGCAAATGCATGGAGGGACATTTTTGCAATCGAGCATCTGCCATAATAGCCTTACACAGCTTTCACCTTAGAAACGTATCGTATTCCCAGGCGAAAATTACCGGAATCTTCTCCCATGCATAACAACATATCCAGCAGAAATAGATCTTGTATACAACATCAAAAACCGGAAGTAGTAATCTGTATCCTAGTACAAAACGGAAATTCTTGTTGGAAAAAATCAAATGATAAATATTTATGACCAAACCATTAAAAAATTAATTATACATTTCTAGATAAATTACATGTACAGCATTTGGCATCTGCCTTTGGTCATACTGAAAAAATGAACCGATTATACACAAATATGATTGCACTTTTGAATTTTGGTAATAGATCCAGCTTCCGAACAGATGAATTACATTGTACCGTACAACTATTTCGTGCTTTTAGATGTAAACAGTAATGTATGACCCGAAAAGTTGGAAATCCAAATCTACTCTTGAACCAGAAGGGGAAATGTGTAAAATCTCTTCATTATATAAATAAAAGGAGTACTGGTTAATTTCAAAATTAAACGAGTAAATACATCTCATACAGACACGCAGGCATACACAGACCGTGAGGTATTATTACGAGTAAATACATCTCAAACAGACACGTAGGCATACACAGACAGTGAGGTATTATTACGAGTAAATACATCTCAAACAGACACGTAGGCATACACACACAGGGAGGTATTATAACGAGTAAACAGACACGCAGGCATACACACACAGGGAGATATTATAATGAGTAAATACATCCCAAACAGATACACAGGCATACACACACAGGGAGGTATTAGCCAGGTGACATAGGACTAGTAGTTAACGCCTGATAAGGCATCTCCTGCGAATTCCCTAAATACTGTATTGGTTAATGTATATGCTTATTGCATTAATTGTATATCTGTGTACTGTAAAGCGCTTTACAGTAGCTCCTTTTAGCAAGATAGGGCGCTATATCAAATGTTGTATACATTATTTATTATATTACTATTACAATTTTATAAAGGACCGTGACACTACTCAAAAAAGGATAACTGTGGCCATCGAGAGTATGGTTACACTTATCAATCATGATGACGTTACACTTATATATCATGGTGACGTTACACTTATCTATCATGATAACGTTACACTAATCTATCATGATGGCGTTACATTTAAGTAACGTTTTGCTGTCATGATGACATTTCATTTATCTTTTATGATAAAGTTACATTTATCTTTCATGATATATGAAGTTGCATGTATATCTAATGATCGATTTACAGTAATCGATAGTGATAAAGTAACATTCATTTGTTGCGAAACTAATTAAAGTAATATGTCATAATGAAATTACAATTAACTGTCAATGATGTAGGAACACACATCCGCCATGAATTTTAATTATGTTTATCTCCCAAAAAATGCACCGTTAATTCGCATTAAGAAATTACATCTGATACGTGGCAAATAATTGATATAATACACACTGGCATTTTTCTGTAATTGATAGGAATTGTAATTGGACTGTTGGGATTGAGAAGAAATACCACGACTCTCAAAACTAATCAAAACAGCTAAGCACCGTCTACTGTTAAATCACACCATTTTAATAATGATTTAACGAGTCCACAGCAGTGCAACATTCGGTCCTTTTTAATCCAATTAACAAGTAAGGAGTTAATGGCTGATTTCGTTAGTAGGGTTTTACCACAGAATCCCCTGGTGTTATATTGTTTTCCTGATACTGGAGTGGCGTGTGATATTAAACCAGTTTGTTTGATGACATGCATACTGCTTTGTTTCCCTTAAAATACCTTGGATGATAGCATACGTGTGTGATATAAACTATTATGTTCATATCAAAAATGATTTATGGGCTTCCAAATTAAGAAGAAGTATAGCTAAGGGGGAAATTGCACTTATCTATTACGATACAAATCTACAACTTCTTTTTTTCTACAACAAATAATCTGTATTATGGTTTCCTGTAATCCGTGCTTTGTATATCAAAACAATTTTGAATTTACTGCTTTCTTTATAAGAAACAGAAATTATGTTCGGGTGGGGTGCATTGTCCAACTGCGTCCAATTTCACGTTAATGTTTATACCAAACTCTGTTCCAGGGCGTGTTGGGAAGCATGGACAATTTGTTTTTATGTTGATTTTATGGCACATCATGAACCAATTTTAAGTATAAATTAGGGGGAATACTCGAGGTGAGTTTAAGTACATGTCATGATGCACTTTTATACTAGCCAAGTACATGTGAAGTACATGTGCATTATCCTACTTGTTTTGAACATTTTCAGGGACGCGTACAATTTGACGGCGCTGATCGCATAGGCCAAGTCCTTCTTCTGCAATACCAAGGTAATGTTCCCTTTTAAATTGACCTAGTGCTGTAATATCAAGGTAATGTTCCCTTTTACATTGACCTAGTGCTGTAATATCAAGGTAATGTTCCCATTTACATTGACCTAGTGCTGTAATTTCAAGATAATGCTCCCTTTTACATTGACCTAATGCTGTAATATCAAGGTAATGTTCCCATTAACATTGACCTAGTGCTGTAATATCAAGGTAATGTTCCCATTTACATTGACCTAGTGCTGTAATATCAAGGAAATGTTCCCATTTACATTGACCTAGTGCTGTAATTTCAAGATAATGCTCCCTTTTACGTTGACCTAATGCTGTAATATCAAGGTAATGTTCCCATTTACATTTACCTAGTGCTGTAATATCAAGGTAATGTTATCATTTACATTGACCTAGTGCTGTAATATCAAGTTAATGTTCCCATTTACATTGACCTAGTGCTGTAATATCAAGGTAATGTTCCCTTTTACATTGACCTAGTGCTGTAATGTCAAGGTAATGTTCCCTTCTACATCGACCTAGTGCTGTATTATCTTGTTTAACGATTTCAATGTTTTTGCACATTCTTAAAAATGAGGAAATGGACAAATGTTGATTTATTTAAAATACATTCCCTTCAGAGAGCAAAATAAGACAGCATTATGTCTTAGTAACTCAGTGTATTCACTGCTTATTATGTGATATAGAACATAATTTTTGTATACATTTTCTAGCTTCGATTTGTAGTGGCAGACTCTAACACTTGTATCTGTCTTAGCACATTGTTTAAAAGTAATCAACATCCTTCATCTCTTCGAGTTACATTGTGTTGTGAACATGACTAGTCTTAATTAACCACATCCTATGCAGATTTACTATAATGTTGTATATAAAATTGGTTCATAGAAATTTGCTTCCGGAGGTAAACGCTTAACGTATCACATGTCCTCCGCGACAAAATAAGTTTATCAGAAAACATTACCATGTTTTTGCTATATTGATCGCTTTTAATGGCAGATTTCAGGAATTTCAGATTGAAGGTGTTGGATTTATGGAAACAGTAATTACAAATGATATTGTGAATTTACATAATCTCCAGACGGTCTACGATCAATCTTGTCATCATCTCGTTTGAATATAGCGGATATTAGATCCAAACGTCTAAGGTTCTAAAGGCAGGTTTGAGTTCATGGTATTGCTAAGAGACTCTAGAATATATAGAGGATCGTAGACGAGTTTTTATTTCTTATGAAACCCCTGCATGTTCGGGGACAGAATGGGTCTTCTGTGTTTTATTGTATGTTATCTTAATAATAATAATGGGCAACTCATGTGGGGCCCTGCAAAATCGTGCCTTCTCCTTAATGGGCATTGAAGAATCCACAATTGATCAGCTGTCCCATCGCAAAATTTGGGATGTGTATTTTTTCTTTTTTAACTTCCCTGTTCTTTCGCTTCATGATGTCAAACCATTTCAACTTACCTATGGAGAGTTATTAAAGATACACAAACAACAAACAAAATAATTTAGTTTGATTGGATTTGTTAGTCACAACTTTAGCAAATTATAAATATTTTGCTTCAAATAGCAGATTCAGATACTTAATCAATGGCAAAACTCTTGTTGCTCTAATACCTGTTCGTGTCCGCCCCGGTAAAAAGAATGTTTGTCCAAGGGAGAAAACTCTCCCTTGTTTCGTTAATAAAACCTTAGGTGTCACAACCCAATACATGTTGTGCCCCTATAAAAGCTTAATTGTGGTTTACTCCGCAATTCGTATTATATTAAAACATTCATATTGAGTTTCCTTTTGATATGATAGTTACAGATATAAGATTGTTTCTTATAGCAAGCCTGTGTCGAGCTAACATGAAATATCCGAGGAATGTTTAATCAATGTTATATATTATGGAAATGAATGTTAAATTCTATTGATCATGCAAAAACATTTCCTCAGATTACTTCATATCAAAATTGGTGTTTGTTTTCATTTGTGATGTCGCAATGCAAGCAATTGAAAATCTGTGACGCCATGAAACACTGGAAACCTATAGTCAGTTATAACTATCTTTGGTTCATAACACAGTTTATTTGATGAGTGTTATGACAGGATAAAAGTGTTTTGCGAAAAAAAGATTTAAGATAATAACAGTATTCCCTTATCGTGAACGATCAAGAATAGTTCGATTTTCCACGCAAGACGGTAGCTATCAACGGCAAACTAGATGACAAATGTCGCCACGTTCCAGGAAAAATTGTATAACCATGGTAACAGAATATGATTAATTACATAAAAGAATTGCCAATGCCCTGCTGTCCTTAGTGATTATGTTTATAATTATCATGAAGTTTAATACGGATTGCTTGTCTGTCAATCCAACGCTATTTATGCGTGTTATAGTAGTTCTGTTTTAGAATCAATTTTCATTCTTATTCCATTCAATTATCATTCTATCCAATACCTTATACAAAACAAAAATTATAATTAATTTTATATTTGTCTTTGAAATATACAACAAAAAACACAAATACAAAAATCCCATTCAATTTTGGACCTTTCTTTGTTCTACAAAGATGCGTTTGACATTCATGTTTGCACAATTTGTGTATTAATTATTTTACAAAGAATTTTTCATTTTGTCTAATAGGAATATTGTTGTTGTCGGTTATAATAGTTGCATACTTAGTGTTAATAAACAAGCGTCTTTAGGGGTTTTGTATAGTAAGGAATTTAACAGAAACCTCATCCAATTCTGTATTTTATGCAGTTATATTAAAATATCACATTTAACTTTTAATCCCTTCAAGAAGGTGTAGGGTGAAATTCGAAATGATGAAAATAGACGAACTTTGCCTACTGAACACAATTTTTTATTGTAAATTTTGTATTTTAAACATTTTCGCAAAATATTATTAAAACACATAATTGCATCATATTGCATAAACAAAATAAATTAAAAATATGGAGTTATACCATGTGGACACATGTTTAGGACTTTATCCATTGCTGTTATATGTAGTAAACTATTTAGCCAGGATTAGGTATGTAGACACATCGGTAACTTTACATGGTAGAAGCTACATGTGTGGCTAGCGCGTTCAAACGAACACTGTATAAAAACCTATTATTTCCTGATTTCAAAAGTCATTTATTATTGATAGTCTTTTCCCGTAGGTCTTTATTCCATGAAAATATCGATTATTTTGGTCGTTGCGAAAATATGATAGAATAAAATTTGCAAAGGTACGAAACTGTTACAATATAATATATTAATGGTATGAGTATGTAGTACACTTTCGCTTAAACTCAATATAAATATAATGCTTGTGGATGATTGTTTTCAACCAAATGAATGGCTCATTAGAAAATTAGAATTAAAAATTGACTTGTACATGACCTGTTTTTTCCGTTAATTTTAAATCGCTCCTTTATCGTCATCACTTTATAAAAATAACATTAAAGGATTTTGGCGGTTACACATTTCTAGAGATCCGGTTACAATGTATATCGAAATTCTGTAGATAAGAACACTGCCCGATAAACCAGCCTAAGTGTAACACTGTTTACTGATATGGATTATTGAAAGGTTGTACTTTCTAAATCGATTTCCATTTCTGAATAGAAATACATTTCACTCATGGGAGCTATACGTATGCTTATTTTGGCTGAGAAGGAACGACTGTCTGGGTTGATATAGCTTTATGCCAATAACGACATCAACGATGAAATAGCAGATTCCTCTTAATATCTTGGATAACGGAATGGCTATGTAAATAAGACAGAATTAATCTGTTCCCCGGGGACACATTTGTAGTCTTTGTTATTTTTGTAAATATCCCGAGGGAAGATTGATATCATAAGACATGCTATACCGCTAGGTTATGTACCGTCTAATGGAGAAGTAGCTATTTTAACGTTTCGTGCTCAGCGTATGGAAAAAGTGTTACATAGAAGCATTCGCTTGAAAATATTACCATTTTCTAGTATTCTTTGAAACATTTGACGAATCACAACAATTTCATATGATACTCAATACTATGTAATTATTATTCAAATACGATATAATTGGAAATATACAATCATGAATAGTATTAATAATCTCTACACTACTACCAAATGCTCGAACTATGCACTGGGAACCGATTTTATCGGCATGCCTATACCATTGACAAATCATTTCCGAATAGAAACCCGTACCTCGCCGGGCTGTAAAGTTCAATTCGACAAAAACGGTATTCGAACTATGGACTGCAATTAGAAAAACTATTACTCGAACCGACAGAGCTACCTGATCAACGGAAGTGTCCTGGCCAAAGTGTTCTACAGTTATATTCAAACATTCTGCGTCGGTGGTAATAATAAATTTTAATATATAGAGGATGTTTAATTGTGTCTTCAGTAAAATATTAGTAATATATTTGTTATTACTGAAGAAACCATTAATTTTTCTTTTTGTTACATTTTTAAAGCATAAAACATGGAAAATGTAATGCATTTAAAAAAGGGCGGGAATCAGAAGCGTAATATTTAGCGCCATGTTCTAATGACGTCACGCTTGACACCAAGGCTGCGCGCCATTTTGAATGGGATACTCAACGCAATTCCGACGTGTTCTGCTATTTTCTCGTATGATTGCTTATAAAAATGTTATTTATTGTATATTTATGTAAATACTTAAGTGTGTGTACCAAAAACAAATATTTACCATAACAACCACTTATTCTACCTTCGCTTCATTTGAATCTGAACAAAAAATCATTGCCTTTGAATGCAGCGAATACAAGATACCGTTATGATTGGTCAATACCAAAAAGTGATATTTGTCAAAGTGTGAAAAATATCAGTTTCATCAAGTTGATAGATTCAATATTTCACTGGCAACAATTTAAATAAATATATATATAAAATATGTTTGACTTTTACAAGACCCAATGTCTGTATTACAGGAGGGGTAATGATGAAGATAGGGGAGTACAAACGGGCTAATGACGACCTTATGCTGCTAGATACAATACGATGGCGGGGTAAGAACATTTTCAAAACTGGCAACATTCAGAGACTACTTTACAATAATTTCTTTTCAGATATCATATAATGCTTCACTAAATAAAATGTACGTATGATATATAACGTGTTTATAGGACACATGTAAAACAATATATTTCTATAATGGGACCCCTTATTACAATTGCCAAATGCTCAATTCCTCAAACGTTCAATAGGTCAGGAGTTTAGCCTATCATAATAACAAAAGATGCTATCAACAAGCTGATTAACTTCTTGAACTGACCAAATGCCATTTAATAGCAGATAAATGAGGCAATTGCGGTAGAAATGAAGTACCCTCCGATTTAGCGTAAACCTACATCAATATGATACATACACGGATGAAACTTGTATTTTGAAAATATAACCTAAACTTCGGTAGTATTGAGTACCTTTATGAAAAGTATTACCCATAAATATCTTACGGTAATTGATATATTTAATATACTGTTTACTACATTCATGCTACAAAAAACGAGTTTTATCTTGAGATTGCCAACACTTTGAAAAAATGTCTTAGCCTTAGTTTTAGTACAACTTATTTATTTAGTAGTAATTTGACAAAAACATAGAGCATACATCTATTCAATTAAAAGAAAAAATCTAAAGAAGGCCTTTGCATATTTCTAAACCTTGTTAAGCTGAAATCCCATTACAAGATAGTTGTCCTATAGAATGCTGACAATTTGCCGTGACATTAAATCAGCCACACTCTGTAGGAATCTGTAAAGTGATGACGGCTATTGACTTCAAACACAATAACACCTTCGCCGATATTGCATGCGAACATGCCATTTTCGCTATTCTGACATTTCCTTTCTGTGACAACTGACCTAAATCGAATCAGCATCTGATGCCATGTTTAGACGATTGTTCGCGCTAGTGGAATGAATTGCATAATGTTCAGTAGGAACTTCCTGATTTGTACATCTGCCTCGCAAATTCCAGCCACTGCAGCGTTATCTTCATTTTCGTGGGGAGATCAAGAGTGTAGTTCAGTGCTTAAGTAATAGAATTGATTAAAAAATTGTTCAGCATCATCGTCTTCGTCATTTAAGCGACGGCGGCGTCAGTGTTGTCAGTTGAAAGACATGTATAATATGTTGCAGGAAATGGTCCTCCACGTGACCGGAACCTGCGCCGATGGGAGGTGCAGAGAGTTTCTGTTGCGGCTTATAGCGTCATTTGTTTTCTAGCTGGTATCGGCATTGTTATGGCGACAGTTTTTCTCATATTTAACATCATTTTTCGAAACCATGGGTAGGTAATACTAATCGGACATTTTCAAAATATTTCCATATAGGAAACACACATTCTTATACTTGTGAATCATTCCATGAAAGAGATGATATTATTCTCTTTTATGCTTTCAACCATCAGATAAGAACTGCTTTAAGAATGATAATCTACATGTTTAACCCTTAAATGCACTCTGCAAACAGATCAACGATTGACCTTCAAATCAAATATACTATTTGAAAGATTAATCAATATTAAATATCAGACCGAATTTCTCAATTATTCTTTTGCTCTTTCTTTGAGAAATACGTCTTGTTCTCAATAAAAATCAACTGTTATACGGTATATTTGTCTTTCATTAATTTATATTTTTACCTTTAGGTATATCAAGATGTCAAGCCCATATATGAACAATGTTATCATAGTTGGGTGTATCCTGTGCTATCTGAGTGTATTTCTCCTAGGAACTGACAGTGGTGTCGTGCCTACAAACATTGTTAAATACGTATGTGTGGTATGTACCTGTCATAACAAACTCTTTAAAGGGGGCATTAACCAGGAAGTGCACGAGAGGGAATAGTTTCCATTACAATTTGTAAATAATTTAAACACAATATCATCCATCAATATGTGAACAGAATCGTTACTGAAAATCAATTAATCTATAGCAAAATATGAACAAGGAAAATATTTAGATTGGGAACCTTGAACAAGTACAAAATGTCAAAGACAATGTGTATTAGGAGGTAAGCTTTTCTGCTTCATCGGCGACACTCGTCATGTAAATTAAGGACAAATCTAACTATGTCAGTATCAATATCGTACAAGAAAATATAATACAGCCCATTGAGACCGGCATCTATCTCGTGAGCCGGTGAATCGACTGCTACATAAAGGATCTTACACTATCAATTTAGCGAGCCTCTGGCGGGCTAAAATGAAATATTACTGACGAGATTCATAAATTTCATAAAAAAAAGAAAACGATTGTAAAATCCTTTTTATCACATAACCAAGATTTGTGGCATTTATTCGTGTAAAACGACAATTTTCATGCAACCTTGAAATGTAAAAAGCCGCCATTTTGATTCCAGTGCGTAAGCCTGTGACGTCATGTACTTGTCCTAGGCGTGACGTCACAATTGAAACAATTGACGCTTACAACGAATAACAGGGATGATAGGTACATGGATTAATACGCAAAAACAATATGACCTGGGTATATTCATTTGATACCAGTACATTATGTGATAAATATACATACCATTTTCAGGAGACGCAGGGATGCTACATTTAAGTAGTTGATAAATTACAAGTTGCTATTTAATGCTATGCAGCGTTGTTAACTCAAAAATATCGTTTTATTATTCTTCTGAAGTGTTGTTTGTATTTCACAGGTGCAGTCTTGGGTTTTGTCCATAGGATTTTCACTCGCCTTTGGAGCAATGTTCAGCAAGACCTGGAGAGTTCATGCCATATTTACCAATATCAAGCTTAACAAAAAGGTCAGAATCTTACTGGTAACGTTAACTGTATCCAAAGCTGTCAATAGCAAATATGGTTTCAAAAAAAATCATTGCTTGTAATTTGCGTTGTCGCCATCGGTTTAAATGGAGCGTCATCGTGTTAAATCAATTTTCACTAAACAAATTAAGAGAACCAAATGTTTGGACTGGAGAGTAAAAAATATATACGAAATAATTGTTCCCAATACCGTTTACCAGGAAATATTTGCGCAGTCAAACTTTCATCCTCGCCCATGAAAATAGTCTTCGCCTAGTGTTAATTTTGCCCTTCACGTTTAACTTCTATGTCTATTATGCTGTCTACGTATAATATGATGCTGAATTACACTCGCTTTTATGATAAATTATCCTTCATTCAGGAGGGCGAAAAGGCGAAAATTAAACTGCAGCGAACATTTCCTGGTATATAGTACTCAGAATGGTGTTACTGCTGTTTAACCACTTCTGTGCTTATGCCACAGAATTTAAAAAATCTTAATCTTAATAACAGTCTCCTACATTTTATGTTGACAACGTTAACCATATATATAGTCCCATTAAGTTCGTGTTCAATGACGGTGCAGTTTCGAGGTTTTTGACATGTGCAGAAATACTTTATAAATCCATTGTATCAAGCTTGGTTGATTTTCTACCGTTTTAATCTAAACTGTAAAAGGAAACAATAGCTTGTTATGTGTGTAACTACCATTTTAGTTGTACATACATTAAGGTTTAATGATGCATATGATAGATCCGATAATAGCTGTCTTTAAAAATTTAACTTTGTTTTTAATCGGGCTTCGTAATTGTTGTTTACAGTATACGACTTGGTTTGATTTGGTAAAATAGTGAACAGAGGATTTGTAAAAAAAAAAAGGCAATGGTTAAGAAAATTGGTAAGGAAAGAGTTTCCAGTGAGTTTGCAGCATGCATTAGATTCCGAACCATAATCTCTGAGATAGATAAAAAAATATAATACCCAGGAAATATGAAAGACTATGAGATTTTTTGTTTTCTTGTTTATGCTGCATTCTCATCCATTGTTATTTAAACTGTCGGTATAGGTTTTATGATAATAACACCAAGATCTACATTTTGTAATGCACGTAAATGTTTTCCAGTCGGAAACTGTTCCAGTTTTATGTCATACTGTTTATGTAATATATGACCAATCATATATTGACATCAAATTCAAACAGATAACTATATCGAATGAGGTTTGCCTTTTGTTTGCACAAATACAATGAAGCTATTCCATTATTTGATAAACCAGTTTGTTTAAGGATATCATGCACAATATATTTATTGGCAGGAAAAATAAATATAATGTCTTTTAACTTTAATATACATGTATAAGTATTGTTATAAATATTCTTGGCATTAATGAAAGTAGAAAACCCAACTACTTACAAACATATAACCTTTGGATCATAGAACTTGTTATTTTTTGTTTCAGATAATCAAGGACTATAAGTTATTTATTATGGTATGTGTGCTGGTACTGATAGACGCTGGGATCCTCAGTGCTTGGCAAATAATGGATCATTTGTATATGACAACAAAGGACCTTCCTGCTCTGGTAAGTACTTCATAATCCTGACTATGTACCGCAGTTATTATCTTGAATAAAACAAATACCTCGAGTGTTCTAGTACATGGTAATCATTCTGAAAAAGCTGTGTTCCTATTGTTTAATGGGAGACAACCCGTAAGCTTCAATAGTGTTTCAGGAAATGCCTGTTAAATACCTCTCAATTTCAATTACCGAAAGAAATGTTGAGTACGAAACTGATATCGTTGTTATCCATTGTTGTGACAGCTGGACATCAAATATGCTGTTCGAAGTAAAGCAATTTGTGTAGATATATTTACTGCGTGGTCTCGTTTGCCATTTTAGTTTAAACCATATTTTGTTCATATCAATAATCATGTACAAATACATAGACATTTCATTCAGATGATTGGGAAACAAGTACTGTTGTACTTATACATAGTCCTTCTCATCATATATCATTTTAATCAACTTTGCCCGGCTAAGAGGGCAACCCCATTCGTGTATTAAAGAAACTGTATTATCATCATTAGCGTTGGGGTTGTATTACATTAGTCAAATAACGAAAGTGAATCACAAAATGATATAAATGGATCCGCAGAAAATATCCAAAGCAAAAGCGGGATGTAAGAAACTCATTTCACGTGCGTAACGGTACAATGACATGGCGTCACATTCTTGGAAAACCCCAAGGCGGTAATGCAGAACTTACCGAGTCACAATATTAAAAGTGAAATAATATATAAACCGTCTTAAACAAATAGATGGGTTTTATTTTTCTGAACAAAGTTTGTCGAAATTAAGAAAGCATAATCTTTCTGACCGGTTTATTTTCTTTGAAAAGTTGACATTTTCAAAATGATAGCCAGTCAAAACGAGTTTTCAATGGTTTCCGAGTTTTTTCAGCTCAAGGGCTGAAAGAAAAAATACTCAATCCTGCCCGGGGTGTAGGATAGGAAAATCCAACCCTCGAAATTCTCAAACTGGGGCAGAACTATCGTTAATCAACGGGCTGCGACCACGATTTGGAGTTTCTCTATCCTATACCCATTCGCTAAAAGAGTCTTACAATCTTTTTGCAGGTAGTAGGTGAATACGAAGTCATTCCAACCATAGAGTATTGCACCAGTAATGCAATGAAGATCTGGCTTGGCAGTTTATACGCTTACAAGGGCTTGCTATTAGTAAGTGTTAACGAAATGAGCAGTTGATTGACCTTTGTTTTAATAAAACAAATGTTAGCAAATGTCTAATTCATATTACTGACTAGTGTCACCATTACACCAAGTGCATTTTAAATAGAAAACAAAGCAGCTATGATGTATTTGACATAAGCATGACCCCTATGTTATCAGTCAGTTACATTAATATTACATTATCTACATAACATTCGAGAATAACAACGCTTTGAAGCATTATCAGTAGAAATAAGACGTAAGAAAGCATATATTGAAGGTACTGTACAATCTAAACGAACGCAAACATGTTTACTGCGCCATATGGTCATTTCGTCCATTTAGGTCGTATCAATGCATTATTGATTGACAAAAGAATTTCATAACATTTGTGTTGCAAAACATGCAGCAAAAGTCACCTATAGGTCTAAATATCATTTATGATTTACGTTCAGGTATTCGGCTGTTTCCTTGCATGGGAGACAAAGAATGTCACGATTTCCGCTCTGAACGACTCGAAGTACATAGGAATGAGTGTATACAATGTTGTAATCATGTGTGTGTGCGGAGCCGCCATATCTTTCACCATCAAAGACCAGCCTACGCCCGCTTTTGTCATCATCAGTCTGTTTATAGTCTTCTGTACGACAATCACCTTGTGTCTCGTGTTTGTACCAAAGGTAACAAATGTATAACTCTACATGTATTCTGTGGGACTGATAGACACCCGTTGATCAACAAAAACATTTCAAATAACATTGTGGTGGTAAAATAGTAAAGCTGACTCCACAATTATTTTTGTATAATTATTTTTTTCATAAAAAATGAATAAATAAAAAACATCAAATTATAAATGTGTTGTTTAAAAAGCAAAACTTACTCCACATTTTTTTTATTATTGGCAGAGATTAAGGTAAATATTTGAGGGCGAATACATCATGACAGTTAATATTAGTACACAACATACACTAATTACATGTTAAGGGTGAAATTTACACTGGGCTAATATGGACTTTATCGGCAAAGGGCGAATAATTGACATGGTAAAGGTTTCCCGGTATACAGCATATAATTGTAATGAAGCGAATTATCTTACATTCAGAACTAAAAACAAAGTTCCATCTGTGACCATATACATCTGTACTACCTTTAAGAGAAAACATAAAACTATTAATTCGATGGAATAAATCAATAGTAAAATTGGTGTAAGTTCATTTTGTCATCTACAATGTGTCTTTGTCAGAAAGCCAGACTGTTCGTTGGAAACCTTCTCTGAAACTGAAGTCTCTCTATTTGCCTTTTTATGTTATTAGAAGATTAAGGGTTTTATAGGTTTACAGGTGTTCGTCACCAATTATATTTGTGTGTACATGTATGCTTTAATTCGTACACAATGAGACTTCGAAACAAATGGCACTTTAGCTGACGGTTTGTCTGTAGCTTCCATGTTCAAATTGTGATAAGTTGTGTAATTTTGTTTTTAATATTTGACGTTGTCAGATGGTTGAGTTACACCGAGATCCGTCAGGCGAAGGACGAAGAATTCGGGCTACACTGAGGAGAAAAAAGAAAAACAAGCAAGAAAATGGTAAAACCTTCCAGAAACGGATTAAAGATGTTTTAGAGGAAAATGAAAAGTACAAAGAAATTATAAAGGAGGTAATTATTGCATTAAAAATTTATTTATTTTTCTAGTTTGTTTAGACTTTTGTATATATAAAACACGGCGCTTCCTTAAGTTTCACTCAAATCTGCTTCCTGAAATGGACAATTATACAATGCGTTCCTGTGTATGGAATACTGCACGCATGCATAAACTGCACGTTATTGTGCTTGTGTAGAAAATCCAGACGATTGTAGCATTGCGTTATGCTTTGGTTTTTCCTACGTTTGAAAACAAAGATGCATATACGTCAATTGTGTGGGTAATCTAACAAAGGCAGCGATTACAATTTGACTGATATGTACTCTGTTCAAAACATATCATACAAAAACTGTAACATTAGAAGATAAGTCGTTGAGGGTTATGCCGTGATACTGTCTCTGGTAACATTTAACATGATAATCCCTGAACTTTTTCCACATTTATTTTCTTGCTGGGATGACCTGGATTAATTAATTGATTGATTGTTTTTTTAATATATGCCCCAGAGCATGCTTGCACTTTAAAGATGGTAGTGCTACGATGTAAAATGGCTGCTTTAAATTCTATGTACATATCAAATTAAAATCAACATGAAACGGAAAAATATTACTTCTTGTGCATGTTGCCATTTCCTCTCGTGGGATAAAACATACCAAAATCCTTTTTCGAACATAGGCTATCAAGGTTTATCATTTCTTGCGGAATCCATCTGTATCTCATTACTCAATATACACTGTTTATTGGACAAGGAAGTGAATAATACAAGTTAGCTAATGTAATATTTTCGATAAAGTAAAGTCGAGCGTCAAGGTCAAGACTAGTAAAGTGGTTTATATTGCCACTGTTTCTAACGTTTTCAATTAGTCCTTGTTTCATTGCTAGAAGAGTGCTGAAATTAAAAGTCTACTGGAGCAGCTAGGCGAGGACACGAGTGCGTATGAAGTCGACTTCAGACCTCAGATGCACAAAAAGGTGATGGAGTTACGTATATCGGATGTTTCTCCTGGTAAGCCATTTTACTAACCTTTTCCTAAACCTTTTTCTGAAAAAAAACATAACTAGATTTATAAACGGATATGACGTGATTTTACTAGTTTTCATTATCATAGATATCATCACAGATTCACAAAACTCGGTGATACAAACAAATCTTCATTGCCTTCTTCTCAATATATTATTTAACTTGTTACAGTATCACGTATTCATTATTATATTCTATTTTTTTTCTATTTTTCTTCTTTTTATAGGTTTTTTATTTTTGTTTTCTTTTTTATTTCTCTTTCTAATTGTCTTTCTTATTCATTAAGTGATTTCGGGTTACGCTTATTTGAAAATCGTTTAGTTAATGTGTTATCCTTTGAGTGTAACGAAACAATTTTCTATCAAAAAATGTCACTGTAAAATGAAATACCTAAAAGATATAATTTTATTTATCTTTAAAGCGTCGTCGGCGACAGAGATGGACAACATGTCAAGTTTCTCTGACGGCAGTGCCTTCACGCACACCACGTGCTCAGAATCACCACAGGTCCGTCAGCGCCACCTGTTGAGATCCAAGGGATCCATGGGAGGTAGTGACACTGAATGCATGGAACTCTCGGAGACCAGCTCCAAGTTAGTGAATAACATTACTTATGTGTTGTTAAATATAAAACTATTAGTTTTGGGTGACTGTTAATGGGTTAAAAATCAGGTTCAACTATTGCAATAGGTCTATCACAATCGCAAAGTAATCAGCACTAGAGATGCAAGAATATAAATGAAAATATTATATTACTTCAAATAAAATAAATATCAGCATTACTTAGTGAATTGAGAATGCATATAAACAATGCTGTTTGTTATTGCTAATTAGGGCCCCGTATCGAAGATACGGGTGCCCTTTACTAATCACTGTCTGTCTGTCTGTCTGTCTGTCTGTCTGTCTGTCTATCTGTCTGTCCGTCCACAAATTTTGTTCCTTGCTAATGATTTTGGTATTACATGAAACTTGGTCAAGATCTTCAGTTCACAAAAATACATACTGAGGTAAAAAGTCAAGGTCAAATGTCAAGGTCATAAGGTTCAAAGGTCCAGGTCAAATTTTGCATCTTTTCATTGATGAGCATTTTGTTATGACATGATGAAGCAAAGTTGGTTAGAATTAAACAAGGAGTCAACTGACCGAAGGTCACGGTCATCGGGTCAAAGGTCAAGGTCAAATTTTGTAGCTTTTCACTAATTAGCATTTTATGACATTATGAAGTAAAGTTGGTCATTGTATCAAAGGTCAAGGTTAATTTTTGTATCTTTCCACTGGTGAATATTTCGTTATGACGCTTTGAAGCAATGTTGCTCAGAATTAAACAAGGAGTCAATTGACCAAAGGTCAAGGTCACTGGGTCAAAGATTAAGGTCAAATTTTGTATCTTTTCACTGATAAACATGTTGTTATGACATTATGAAGCAAAGTTGGTCGGAATTTAACAAGGAGTCAACTGACTTATGGTCAAGGTCACTGGATCAAAGGTCAATGTCAAATTTAGTATCATTTCACTGATGAACATTCTGTTATGACACTATGAAGCAATGTTGGTCAGAATTAAACAAGGAGTCAACTGACCAAAGGTCAAGGTCATTGTGTCAAAGGTCAAGGTTAAATTTTGTATCTTTCCACTGGTGAACATTTCGTTATGACGCTTTGAAGCAATGTTGCTTAGAATTAAACAAGGAGTCAATTGACCAAAGGTCAAGGTCACTGGGTCAAAGAACAAGGTCAAATTTTGTATCTTTTCACTGATAAACATGTTGTTATGACATTATGAAGCAAAGTTGGTCGGAATTTAACAAGGAGTCAACTGACTTAAGGTCAAGGTCACCGGGTCAATGTCAAGGTCAAATATTGTTTCTTTTTACTGATGAACATATCATGAAGCAAAGTTGTTCAAAACCTAACAAGAAGTCAACTGACCTAAGATCCAGGTTACGGTGTCCAAAGGTTCAAGGTTAAGGCCAAGTTTAGTATTTTTCACATTCTAACATTTTGTTATGATATTATGAAGCAAAGTTGGTCGGAATCAAAGAATAGACAACTGACCAAGATCAGAGTCACTGGGTTAAAGGTCAAGGTCATTTGGGTCCAAAGGTCAAAGACAAGGTGGATTTCTGACTTTGACCCTGGCTCTTGATGGAGGAGGTATTTAAGGTGAAATAAAACATATCAAAGCTAACAAATGAGTATTGCATCGGTATTTTACATTTCTGTTAGCCTAGCAAATATGGAGGTGGAAGGAAACAATACTAACATCATAGTACATGTAAAATGTATATTTTGCTTCCTTGCGATTCTATTTGAAGTCCAAATGTCAGACGTCAAGCTCAGCTTTATGGGCAGATTGCTTCTTGATGATTATGGGGGATATATTACCACAAGACGGTGCCCTTACTGACCTGTCAGTGTTCTAGTTATGTTACATTACCACATTGTAATACAAATAACGGACGTTTCATTCATCTGTTAAGCTTGTGTCTTAATTCGATAAAAACTCTGCTTCAGATATAGACATTATAAATAAGACGTTTGTAGCAATTATATCAAGTCTGTCAGGCAGGCTACTTTCAAAAAAACATTTTGTTGGTCGAGTTACATACTATTCGTGGTAAAAAAAAAAGGGGGGGGGAGGGGTTTCTCTTACAACGTATGCCACAGATGTAAGCCAAACCTTTGTCTTAAGTCCTGAAGTTATGATCCGAAAATATTTACAGTTACAATTGACTCTATAGCAATGAGTGTGTCTTATTAGTTCTATTCTCGTTAATGGTAGATATATTTTTCTTTCCAAAACCAATACTGTAGATGGTAAGTATTCTCATTATATAAAGACATGTTCAATCTTGACATTGTATTTCTTCCTTAGCTGCTATATTGCCAAATAAATATAGGCTGTTCAAGGAATGTACTGTTTCCCGTCGGTAAAATATTTGTTAGAGTTATATTTTTTCGTTGAAATGTTGTGATTAACCAACACAAAACATGTAATGATGACGAGGATAATGCATTTTGCAAAATACTTCTATTTTTGCTTAGAAAACCAAATTATTACAAACCTACACAAAGTCAACTATCAGGAACTGGGACAGGAGAGCAGGGCGTGTGTAGTGTAAAGAACGGACCAACGGAAACGGACAAGATTGATTTCTCCTCGACTGAAAACTACGGGTAAATAAATAAAATCGAAACATGGAGACGTCGACTCACGTATATTGAATTTTGATCCTGTATATACTGCATAAGACCGAATATGCGTGATCAAAGCATGACATTTAACTTGAAATCTATAAGTATCGGATTTAACGTAATACGAAAAAAATATCATGTATTTATACACTATAGTTTAAATATTGCTGTTAAAATGACTTCTGGACATTTGTATGTTCTTGTACAGGTTATTGTTTTACTTCGATTTATTAGTTCCTATTTGCAATATTTTTCTAACGATCGGAACTTGATTGTAGTTCGAAACAGCGAGAAATTCGAATTATGAAAGGTCGATTCATAATTGTATTATCAGTAGTGTTATATAAGGTGAAAATTACCAAGAAAGCATAGGCTGGACATTTGAATTTTATGTGTTGCTTAAGTTAAGTTGGTAAGTTGGTAAGTTAGATATCCCTCAGAAAAATAAATTTCACTGAACTACTAGTTGGAAAAGGATATTTGTTAACTATTCACATGCTCCTCATATAAAACAATATCATTTTATAATGAAAGATAGTAGTGTAATTGTCGATCTTTTCAAAACAAACCAAGCTTATTTAGTTTGGTGTAGATTAAAAATATGCAATAAGTGACTGAGTAGATTCTATTAAAAAATCACTGTTTTATTTATTTTTCTTATTTTGAATCTTTCCACCAAACTATTATGAAAATATTTGTGTTTCAATTACGTTTGCCAAATGCAAAATTGATTGAATTTACAAATTTCACCACTGGTTACAATGGCAGCAATTATGAAAAGCACAAAATATTTTTGATATTAGTCTTCTGGAATCTTCAAATCTGTGAAAGGATCAATTATATGACAAGAATTTTGATAGATTTTGGTGTCAAAAACACCTTATCCATACTTTTCCCCTTTGAAGACATATATATCAAATAGAAAAATACTATTTCTTTTGTCAGATACACAAGAACGCTTACCAAAAGTTGTCTCCAGATGAATGACAAGGGCGTTCAAGCAGGGGACGGACAGCTGAGCAGACGACCAAGATGGAAACCGCCCTGTAAAGACCCAGAGTGTAGCAGCAAATACGAAACAGTGGCATCTATATCAGGTTTGTATCGACGGGGTGTCAATAATTGTGTATCCTCGCTTTATGTAAAGATTTTTGTTATTAACGGTAATTGTTCATGATTTGTCAATTTAAAGAACACATTTTCAAAAGAAAACAAACTTCTATACAGTAGCTTGTTATTGTCATTACACTGCTATCAGATAAACGACCGGTATTTAAGAAATCTTAAAAATAATTAAACCAAGTTATATACATCATAAAGGATCATAAAGGATCGAAAGGAAATGCAATATACTTTTCAGATTCAGTTGAACAATGCATGTGTTATGTTTGCATAATCTAGATTTATTAGGAGCATATCCCAGACTGCACATGTTTACTGTTTTAGCTGAAGAATGTTTGCATGTGGTTGCCTCGGTTATCTAAATGCACATTTGCCCATGAACTCCTGTCAAAACCATCTACCTTACCATTTATAAAACATTTCCCTTTTATATCATAGTTACACAACTAGCTCCAGTTTCTCATATGGTTTTTTACGTAAGACTCTATTTGAGAGCATCACAGAAGTTAAGGACAATTTCTCCATAACTTAAGAAATGCATTCCTGTAAAAAACGTATTAAGGATGCCTGTCCCAACGCACTGTCGCACATATGTTCCCTAAATCTCGGTGTTGGGTGTTACTGTAGAACAGCTGGTCAATTACACTTCCTTTGGCCAGTTAGCTCAGTCGGTTTGAGCGGAATTGTTACCCTCAGGAAACTGTTGTTGGTTATATCTAGTTTATTCAATTTTTATTTTATTTTCATAAAAATGTTATTTTTCAGAAATGATTTATTAAAACCGTATAGTCATACCAAAAAGGGAAGTTTTCAATGCATAGTTCCAGTTTCTGGCAGTGGAACGAGGATCCTTAAGAAACGTTCGTGTTACTGGGGCCTGATTGTTTATAACAGTTGATCGCATCCTCTATGTAACCTTATAATACAATACACATGAATAAACTGATCACATAAGGTTTTCTTTTTTACATCCTTCAAAATCTCTAGAAAATTTAACAATAATAATTTGACCTTAACCAATTTTATTATGTTTAAATCCCCAATGTGCATGTGCGTGCTAGTGTGTTGATTGGAAATAATGTATTCATATACTTGTAATTAACAGCATGAATATCCGAAACTGAAATGTATATATTATATATGTATTGAGAATGAAGTAAATGGTATTTTCATGCCTCGTAAGTTCGGACAAAAGACAATTATTATTTACTTGATCAATAGTAAGCTCTACAAGAAGTGCTCAACAAGAAACAACTCAGTGAGTAACTCCAGTTATCATGAGTTTCTTTGGCCAAAACGTTGTTTCTTAAATTTGAAACCAAATTGTCCGGACTGATGAGGTTCCTTTGTATTTGTGGGGAATTGATAGAATCTATCATGCCAGTATGGTGTGGACACAGAAATCTCAACAAGAGATTAAGATTTTTGAAGTTTTGAACAAGTCTCTTCGGAATGTTAAACTTCAAAAATGTTATCCACTTGGTTCATATGACTATATCTGCACCACAGAGGAATGATTGATTATTTTCTTCCATACTTTTCATGCTTAAAAATAGATTTGTTAATAAGCTGTAATGATGAACCGAATGCACTGCTATTTCATCAATGGCGTATGAAATGATGACGTGATCCTGTTGTGATAGGATTACGCAGCATAAAGTGATGACGCGATGACGTTTTTAGAATAAAGGCGCGAGTGAGCTGAAGTTAAAGATAGCTCTATATGTTTGCCTACTAAAAACGGTAATACACCTTTAAAAGTGTGGAAGAAAATATGTACGGTCTTACATATTATAACGTTGTATAAATGTTACTAACAATGAACATGTTGATGTCTTGATTTGCCTGATGATATTGTTTAACTAATCAAATGGACTACAAGTGCTAATTAACTACCGCTAATTTGATCACGAATAAATAAAATTAGTCTATTCTTCTGGTATGGCAGTCTTCCCTTTTGTTATGTCTGAAATATAGGTTATACTTCTTGATTCGGGTGGTTAGTTGGCGGGGTCGATAGCGCACTCGACTTTCACCAAGACAGCCGGGATTCGACGTTAACATTTTTCGGGTAACATGTTCGACCACTTGGGTTTTCTCATGGTACTCTGGTTTCCTCCCACATAAAGACCTCCTGTACACTACAATCCGAGCCATCTTTAGTGATTAATTTAGATTGACAAAATTGTTCATAATTGTTGTAAAGTAAATACATGCATCTAAATAGTTGCTCCCTTTCAACCTTGATCTCTTTGACCTTGCTCATGTCTTGAAATATAATATTCCACTGACTATCAAATCAGTAACGTGTATGTCAGTTAGTTAAAAGTTATAGAAATAACGTTTAATTGTACAATTCAGTTAATGCCAATTCCTTCCGGTAAGTTACAATACAGTGTAATGCAATTTGATTGGTTGGAACTTAATGTACCCCCTCCTCCACCCCCATCGCCCATCCCCCTCATCCCCCTAGTCCCCCTTCCCCTATTACATTCACTTGTAGTCCATTAGTACGTCAAGTGAAATGTCTGTATAACTAACAATGACTGATCTGTTGCAGAGCATGATGGAGGCCAAATAACACTAACCCTTCTGTAATAGTAACGGTATGTAATATATGGTGGTTAAGATGTCGTGAAATCTCGTACAAACGACAACCAATCATTGTACTGAAATTACGTCACCTCATAATCCATTGTTTCGTATTTTATAAAGATATTTTTTAATAAATTCCAGTCATGCACAGCATGATTTTCTTTTTGGATATTAACGACACCTTTCATTTTTATTTATACATGTATTTGTATACTACTAAGGTCCTTTTAAGAAAGGTGAATTTATAATAGAATTTCCATAGTTAATCCTCGAAAATGACAATTTGTCTATTTCATCATGATATAACTGTATGAGGTTGTGATGCGAAGATTTTACGAAGAAAAGTTTAGTTGGCATGGAATCATGGTAATTATTTATGGCTAATTGAAAGTTGTTTGTAGAGGAATCATGTAGTACGTATTACTAACATAACGATATGTTTATTAGTATGATGTATTATATTTTTTGCATATTGTATATGTACATTTATGTATATCAAAGTGTATGCGGCGACAGAAACATATACTGGCACCTTTATGTACAAGCATAGGTTAACACTCATCTTCAATGTATATCATGTTACTTTATGCACAATATTAATATCATATTTTTTTATGTTGATACATTATTACTTTTAATAGATATGTACAGGGTAGTGCTGTTACTGCGACATAACATGCATCATAAATTTTATGAATATGGTTTTTAGTGATATAAACTAATAAATATGTGCTGTAAAAATATTATGTATATTTTGTAAGAAACAATTTCTGAAAAGGCTGTGATGAACAGCTATGCATTATGTATCTGACACATCAGAACGTCAAGATATTTTCTTATAAGTTACATAAGATATGGTATGTGTGATATTTCAAGCATACTATTGTGATACTGTTTTTACATCGGGAGGTAATCTGACTTTTCGCGGCTAAGCCTGTGAAATAAGAAACATTATGATATTTCCAAACAGAAATGTCCCCGATTGCATCCATATTATCCAGTAAATCTAATAGAAGCAGTATGTTAAATTTCGATAACTCTTTAATGTAAGCAATACCATCAAGTAATTAGCAATGCAAAGCAAAGGGAACTGTGACAACAGCACTGATGGTGTATCTTCTTGTCCAACTTAAATGCGTGAATGGCATAACGTTATGATATCATCACCAAAACTGTTCTTCTTTATACCTTAGTATTCCGTATCATGGTGACATTTCAATTCACATACATTATGTCTATAAACGGCAAGCATTTGAATTTGTATTCATGAATATATGTCATTTTGACTCAAATACCACATGAGATTGTCATAATATATACATAAATATTAATATTTTCTTTGGATGAATTTTCTAGAAGCGAAGCCAGTTGAAATGTCTCCTGGTAGGCGTCTAAATGCCCTTATACAGTGCAGTCCTATGACGGTGAATGCTTTGGTCCACGAAGAGGAGGCCATTCCGGTGCCCGCGTGGCAGCATGACGACATGGGAAGGATCAAGGACGAATCAGATGTCCTTGAACCTCTTCTTGACGGATGTAGGCACGCTGCAGTCAAAACTTTTTGTTCCACCAAAAAACTTAAATTAGAAAAAAGACTGGACGATATCTCAGAATAGCTCTCTATATCAAATGTATTTCTGATTAAATACTTATATTTGGACATTTAAAACATTTGTATATAGTAGAAATGCAATATATTTCTTATATCAAGCTTGAACTTAAAGTATATCAGCGTTTAAATCATTGCTTGATCTTTGAGTGCATAGTATATTAAACTGAAAATGTGCAGCTAAATACGCTATCTAAACTTTTCTATAGTCCAAAAACAGAATGACAAATACAAAAGTGTTTGCATTAAATTTCATCAGAAAAATTCTTGTTCAAAATATTTTTTGCCACGTTCCCTACACTGTATATTGTATGTATCTTTACTACGCATGCGTTGATTTTCGAAAAATGATTCCCTGTTAAAACAGGTTTTGAATATCTTAAGTTGCAAAAGCAAACAAACCTGTTTTCAGAGACCACCTTCGAGAAATCCATATAGTGATCATTTATTACAGATGGTATCTTTATACATGTTTCAGTCAACATGAGAATAACAGTATTTGTGAGATTTAGAGGTGTTTTTAACGCTGTGTTCTCTAAAAAGAGGTTTTCTCTTAATGATATCACAAACTGCAGATGGGACAAAATTGTTTACCCAACGTTTGGCAGAGCTGTACCATTTTTTACATAAAGTTCTGATTTTTGTGGCGTTTGTTATTTCATTGATTTCATCATCCACGAAAACATAGGTCCACAAAGTAGTTACAAGATTTACATAAAGCTATTCTCCATTTGAGTTGATATTTTATTTGCAATATGCCAATGCATGTACCCACGAAATGGTGTTTTGTCGGGAAAACACAAAAATTGGGCACCACGAAAATATCTGATTTCACAGCACGCCTTTGATTAATATATTCTTGTTGTCGCCATGGCATTTATTTTGTCGGTAGATATACAATAGGATGCTTAAGAGTATTCGGTCAGTTGTTATCAGATACTTACGGTGCTAGTTGCAGAAAGAAAGAAAGAAATACATATATGTGAATGCTTATAACATTGTTATATGGAGATATAATATGTAAATGAAGCAGTGTTGTTGTATTCATTGTTAAATCAGATGTGCAAATATTTAGTGCATTTGGCTGCTTCAAAATATTAATACAGATATTTACACTGTATTTATTAATTAATCTTGTTATTGTATTAAGAAATATTGACTGTATGAATAAAATTTCTCTAAACTAGTTATTTTGCTATCGTTTTTTGGTTTGTACAGTAGTTGCATTAGATTTTTTTTAACTTACCAGAGCGTCGACGCACAGGGAAATATTCATAACCAATATTTACAAGACAATACAGCAACAGGAACTGTAGACGCATCAAAATAACTTGAGAGACTACATAAACCCATCTATCATGATACTGTAAGTGTTTTTTTCCGCGATCCCTATTTTTCTCAGATTTCCTAAATGCTCAATTTCGCGGTATCTTATTTTGACAGATTATAGGTTAAGTGGCAATGGCACTAAGCGTTACTGGATTGATTCAATTCCTAATTTCGTGGAAAACCAATACTGCAAAAATCGCGAAAATTAGTACCTCGCAGAAAAAAACCCAGCCTCTACAGTAAAGCCCGTCTAATCCAGAAAACGTTTAGATCCGCTCATGTATAACAAACTTCATCAACGAAGACTGGGTTCTGGATAAACATTTTGTTGGTCAACAAATCTAGAAAAACTTGCTCCTGAGAACAGGCTTTGAACTAAGGAATAAAATGGGACATGCATCCTATAGGCATGGCAACATAGTATGCTACTATAGAGGAAAAGAAACATTAATATAAAGATTCTGTCAAGTTTCTGGTTATTCTCGATCAGATCTATTTCTTATCATTTCTCGAGGAAAGCGATACTCTTTACAAATAAAGCTGTCAACACAGTCATGATTGAATGATAGAAAGTTACACTCGTGAAATTATCAGATTTTCCCTTCCAGACAAATGATTCTTCGTCATTGGGAATAAGTTTGCTATCACTTTCCACAGGTTTCCATGGCTGTCCCAAAAATGAAACTACCACTTTTATAAAAGGACTAATGGCTGTCCCAAAATGGAACTACCAGTTATGTATAAGGACTAATGGCTGTCCCAAAATAGAACTACCAGTTATATATAAGGAATGATGGCTGTCCCAAAACGGAACTTCCAGTTATGTACAAGGACTAATGGCTGTCCCAAAATGGAACTATCAGTTATATATCAGAAATAATGGCTGTCCAAAAATGAAACTACCAGTTATATATAATGACTAATGGCTGTCCCAAAATGGAACTACCAGTAATATATAAGGACTAATGGCTGTCCCAAATTAGAACTACCAGTTATATATAAGGACTAAAGGCTGTCCCGTAAATGGAACTAACAGTTATATATAAGGACTAATGGTTGTCCCAAAATAGAACTACCAGTTATATATAAGGACTAATGGTTGTCCCAAATTAGAACTACCAGTTATATATAAGGAATAATGGCTGTCCCAAAACGGAACTACCAGGAATGTATAAGGACTAATGGCTGTCCCAAAATGGAACTACCAGTTATATATAAGGAATAATTGCTGTCCCAAAAATATGAACTACCAGTTATACATATGGACTAATGGCTGTCCCAAATTGGAACTAACAGTTATATATAAGGACTTATGGCTGTCCTAAAAATGGAACTACCAGTTATATATAAGGAATAACGGCTATCCAAAAATGGAACTACCAGTTATATATAAGGACTAATGGTTGTCCCAAATTAGAACTACCAGTTATATATAAGGAATTATGGCTGTCCCAAAACGGAACTACCAGTTATATATAAGGACTTATGGCTGTCCTAAAAATGGAACTACCAGTTATATATAAGGAATTATGGCTGTCCCAAAACGGAACTACCAGTTATATATAAGGACTAATGGTTGTCCCAAAACAAAACTACCAGTTATATATAGGGACTAATGGTTGTCCCAAAACAAAACTAACAGTTATATATAAGGACTGTTTGTTGGCCCAAAACAGAACTACCAGTTATATATAAGGACTAATGGTTGGCCCAAAACAGAACTACCAGTTATATATAAGGACTGTTTGTTGGCCCAAAACAGAACTACCAGTTATATATAAGGAGTAATGGCTGTCCCAAAAATGGAACTACCAGTTATATATAAGGAATAATAGCTGTCCCAAAATAGAACTACCAGTTATATATAAGGACTAATGGTTGTCCCAAAACGGAACTACCAGTTATATATAAGGACTAATGGTTGTCCCAAAACAAAACTACCAGTTATGTATAAGGACTAATGGCTGTCCTAAAAATGGAACTAACAGTTATATATAAGGACTAATGGTTGTCCCAAAACAAAACTAACAGTTATATATAAGGACTAATGGTTGTGCCAAAACAAAAGTAACAGTTATATATAAGGACTAATGGTTGTCCCAAATTAGAACTACCAGTTATATATAAGGAATAATAGCTGTCCCAAAATAGAAGTACCAGTTATATATAAGGACTAATGGTTGGACCAAAACAGAACTACCAGTTATATATAAGGAGTAATGGCTGTCCCAAAAATGGAACTACCAGTTATATATAAGGAATAATAGCTTTCCCAAAATAGAACTACCAGTTATATATAACGACTAATGGTTGGCCCAAAACAGAACTACCAGTTATATATAAGGACTAATGGCTGTCCCAAAATGGAACTAATAGTTATATATAAGAACTAATGGCTGTCCCAAAAATGGAACTTCCAGTTATATATAAGGAATAATGACTGTTCCAAAATAGAACTACCAGTTATATATAAGGAATAATGGTTGGCCCAAAACAGATCTACCAGTTATATATAAGGACTAATGGCTGGACCAAAACAGAACTACCAGTTATATATAAGGACTCATGGGCGGGTCCAGGTGAGGATGGGCGGGTCCAGGTGAGGGCGTAATGGGCGTACGCCCCCCCCCCCCCTTTTTCAAAAAAAAAAAAAAAAAACTATCGTAATCTGCTTATATTGTATTGAATATGGCAATTTATCATATTCAGTAGTTAAACACATAAACACCCTGACACTTTAACTATAAAATATACATGCTCCAAGTCAGGAACCGTTACATTAGTGCATTTCACAATTATTTTATGTTTTTTAGCCAAAAAAAGGTCCAAAATTTTTTCGCATCGCTCCGCTCGGCGAAACATTACATTCTACACCCCCACTTTCAAATATCCTAGAAACGCCCCTGGGACTAATGGTTGGCCAAAAACAGATCTACCAGTTATATATAAGGATTAATGGCTGTCCAAAAATAGAACTCTTATTTATATATAATGACTAATTGCTGTCCCAAAAATGGAACTAAAAGTTATATATAAGGACTAATTACTGTCCAAAATTAGAACTACCAGTTATTTATAAGGACTAATGGCTGTCCAAAAATAGAACTACCAGTTATTTATAAGGACTAATGGCTGTCCCAAAATGGAACTACCAGTTACAGTATATATAAAGACTAATGGCTGTCCCAAAATGGAACTACCAGTTATATATAAGGAATAATTGCTGTCCCAAAAATAGATCTACCAGTTATATATAAGGAATAATGGTTGTCCCAAAAATGGAACTATCTGTTATATATAAGGACTAATGGCTGTCCTAAAATGGAACTATCTGTTATATATAAGGGCTTACACCTGCCCCCATGTGGAGCTACTAGTTTATTTACATCCAAGATTTGCAACCCCAAATATGAAAGAAGAGAACAATGTGTTTTTTATATATCTACAAATGTATTAGTATTTGTCAAGACTTTCTGTTTTTCGGTTGTGTCATTCAAACAACACATATTCCATATGTTATTTGTACCTTTCTTTAAAATTAAACTTATTTCCCTACGTAGTAGTACCACCGCCCCAAGCCGCCGTTACTGTTGGAAAAAATCAATGTCACTGTTACTTACACGTACATCATTATCTGGTACTACTTATCTTGATAACATATCATCCAAAGCTATTCTGTAGTTTTCAATGAATGGTTATCCCAAAATGGAACTACCTGTTATGTACATTCTATAAGAGCTTACACTTTTCCCCCATGTGGAGCTACCAGTTATGTAAAGGGGCTAACACTTAACACCACGTGGAACTACCAGTTAAGTACTCGTGATTTTAGGAACATCTGACTTTCATAAGTCATCTAAGCATATTAACATTACAAAATAATCATATTGAATACACTTAAGCACCAAATAACGTACATAACATATACAGACTTAATTACATTGAAGTCATACATTCAATAAATGTCATTAATAAGTGTTTATGTGATGAGGTAATACATACGTATCATATGAAACATTCATATTATTATTTTATTTTATTTTATTTATATTAATCTTTATCGGGGTGTGAGATTATATCTACTCACTACTGGTAGTATAATTTGTGCATCTTTTCGACAGCTGCTACTGATTTCAATCTAAATTCATTCATGTCTAATACATTTAATTCGTAAGTCATTTGTCCCCCAATTAAAATATGAATTAAATCGTGATCTGTCAGAGAGTGTGTGTACGCACTCAGCAGTATATCAGTATCACTAATGTTTGCGATAGAGCACCACAACTTGTCCCATAGGTGTTCAGTATAACTACACTTTAATATAATATGAGTTAATATATCTTGGTAAATAATACCACATCTATGACATAGCTCTTTGGCTTAACCAGTACAAATATTAACTATTAATTTCGTAACATATAATATCGAATCTTTAAACTCCGGGAATTTCATTGCCAGTTTAAATAGTATATGTGGTTGCAATATATTATGAACCATTACAAATCTGTTAAAATCACTATCATTTGACATTCGTTCTTTCCAATCATGTTCCTCTTTCAACACCATAAAGTATCGATGACAACAAAATATAGGACAGTCTCACAAGTCGAAGACTTACAACGACTGGAAGAACAGTGCGAACAGTGCGAACACAGATTTATTCACAATTATTTTCCATTGCCGTTTTAATGGGAATACACTCGTTCGAATATACTTGTTCATCATATTATAAAGATTGTACTTTTTCAAAATTCTCAAAATATCATTTAAAAGTCCAAAATGGTCACCAGATCTGTTCAGCATTGATGCGTATAGTCTTCTTAAAAATATACGTGATGACAATGTATTTTTATCTAAATAACACAACCTTCCAAAAAACAATAATTTTCTTATATCTATATAACTTTCTATGGATGTCCATCCAATCAATCCATAGCACATATCAGTACGTGTTCTGTTGCTAAAGCCTTGAATTGATTTTAAAATAAATCTTTGCGCTCTTTCCAACAAAAGTAACCCTTTCTTTAATTTTGATAAAATCCATAGTTCACAACCATATAGTGCTGACGTATATACAACTTGTTTGATAAGTTTTCCGGCAGTAACTGGATTTAACGCACAAGGATGTACACCACTCTTAATGAAACTCATTGTACCACTTTTTAATTTGCTACAAGCACGCATTGTACGTTCATATGTTTGGAATTTATTATTTAACATACTACCAACGTGAACAATATCTTCAACTTCCGGTATAATATTATCATATAAATAAAAACTAGTAGCACATTTCATTTTGTTTTTCTTATTAAAATACGTTATCTTACTTTTGGTGTTAGAAAACAAAAATCTCCATTTTTTACTATAATCTTTACACATCCGTAGCATATATTACAAATCAGTATATGTATTGCTTACAAGGCATATATCATCAGCTTGAGTGGGTATATTAACTCTAAAGTCGATGATCATTGATCCCTTGCCACTCTGTTCAATATTTTTCAGCAACATATTAATAAAAACTAAATACATTTTCGCAGATAATGCGCTCCCTTGTAAAATACCTCTCTCCATGGTTACCCATCTTGATAGTAATCTATTACAAATAATGCAACTTTTGACACCAGTATATATTCCTTTCAGTACGTAATTTCCATACTTTCGAGTTCAAGCCAATTTCATAAAGTTTGTATAGCAGGCCTGCGTGCCATACCGTATCAAATGCTTTATTGCTATCTAAAAATCCAACAAAAACATTATCATTATTTTCTAAGTTATATTTTATACATTCCTGTAAACTAAATGATGTACATAAACTACATAAACCTTTCTGATAGGCTGCTTGTTGCCTATATAGAAATGTATCTGATTGAAGAATTGAACTTATTCTTTCTGATATTAACATTTCAAAAACTTTAAAATAACTGGTAATAACGTGATACCTCTGTAATTATTGGGATCATCTTTTGGTTTATTGTTCCCTTTATATAACGTAAAAATATTTCCTTTCTTCCAATCAGAAGGTATATATTCATTATCTATTACAAGGTTAAATTAACCTTGTTAGGTATCTAAATAAATGTTCGTTCCCATTAATGAGATGCTCGTACACTACTCCATCGAATCCTCCTGCTTTTTTGTTATTTAACTTTTACAAATTTTTTATTATTTCTCGACTTCTGTAGCAGTGACTTGATTATTTTAAAAAAACGTCGCGCTCATTGTGTATATTCTTTTCAATATCTCTTACGCTTTTTAAAATGTTATCGTAAAACTCTTTGTCGAAAAGATTACACTGAACATCTTTAAAAAGGTTTTCGAAATGTGTAGCCCAAACTTCCACTATATCATAAGGTTTACAGAATGTTTTACCGCCATATTTTATTTTAGTCTGCGTATATCTTGACCTAGCTTTCTTACTCTTAAATTAATCCCATAACAGTTTCTGATCTATTTCTCCTGACTGATCTATTTTTTCAAATTCCTCCGACATGTACCGGTTAAAAGCGTTCCGCAGTCGTTTTCTAAAATCAGCTTTGACATCTTTATACTCTCTATAACTGTTTACAGTAGGTTCCCTATGTTTATTTTCATCTATCCATCTTTTTCTTTTTTGAAGCATAATTCCGTGTACCTCTTTTAACTCCTGATTCCAATAGGGTTTAAGATACCTCTTATACTTTACTTTCGGAAGTTTAAGCTCATTGGCTTTCAATATACACGAAGTGATATTCTGTTGGAAAAAAATCAATATCACTGTTACTTACACGTACATCATTATCTGGTACTACTTATCTTGATAACATTAAACTATTCTGTAGTTTTCAATGAATGGTTATCCCAAAATGGAACTACCTGTTATATACATTCTATAAGGGCTTACACCTGTCCCCCATGTGGAGCTACCAGTTATGTAAAGGGGCTAACACTTAACATCACGTGGAACTACCAGTTAAATACTCATGATTTTAGGATCATCTGACTTTCATAAGTCATCTAAGCATTTTGATTATTTGCGTATTGGTCCAATTTGGGAGAAGATGGACAAAGGGGCACCTAAAATGTCCAAGGCATGTAATTTCGGCAAACAGTAAGATTCTTTTAAACGTGTGTGGATATATATAAGCCAGATATTATATGATAAAAATGGTCAATATATGTAATTAGATAAATCAGTCCAGCGAAAAGGATCTACATGCCTAATAGGCCTTTTGCTGATCATTGTATGTAGAGTGATCTCCCTTATGTTTAATACTTCCTGTGATATTAACCAGTTGTGAAATGGAAATCGGAAATTGACTCGGTTGCGCGGGAATGTAAACAATTTGTTGTTTGAATCTGGTGACTGTTCATTTACCTGATACACGGTCTTGGGTAACCAAAATGTTCAGCGACATGTTTTCCCATAAATATGAACCGCTCAAAATGTCGTTTTAAAATGAAAGGAACGCTTGACAACACGAAAGCAAAGTTGCTTTGTTTACAAACGTGCTCACCTGTGATAAACTTGTGTATAACAAACATTGTTATTTGAAATAACAACGCTACTGTCTGTTCAATCATAATGGAGAAGGCTTCCAGAGCTATACGCAGGTGTGTTTGGCATCAGACTTCATGTAAACGTATTGAATTTTATGAATTTGGTTCATGATCCAGGTAACTGGTTGGTTCGCCCTAAATCCCGTTCGCGCTAAGGGCTAATATTTCCATTTTAGATGGGGGGGGGGGGGGGGGGGTATATTTTGTATACTTATATATATTTCAATTTAATTGCTTGTGCAAACATTTTCTGCGTTTCAAGCTTTTAACAAATTAAAAATAGTTTGTAGGGTTCAAGATTAAATTACACACATTAACTGATATTCTGAGTTAATTACCTCTGGTCATTGCACTCTTGTGGTGTTTTTGAAATGATAGCAAATTATATTTATATTATGTGAATGTATGCATTTGTAAAAAGCAAGATAACAATATATAGCCTACAAATAACACCACATCCAATGAATGTACATGTACACTTGTAGTTGTGTTCTGGGCATTGAGTCTGTGATTGTATTCTGGACATTGTGTCTCTATTATTTGATCCTGAACTGTAATGATTTAGTCTCATCCATTTAAGCAGAGTAAATTGAGAAATAAGTGTAAAAACTTCTATTGCTAAGGCTGATGCTATCTAAGAATGTGATATAATTTAAGTAGTCAAACTATTTTATATCACAATCATTGAACAAAATGACTTTCAAATTAAATTCTGATGGAAATATTTCAATAATTTGGAAATATATTCATGGAATGTGATTCTCAATGGTTAGATTTTTTACTAAATCTGAGTTTTACATTGGCTATCAGGTATAGCTATAGAGAGGCTTATATTCCAAGTACAATACCAATTGTTCATGTACATATGTAGGTAGGGGAGTATATATAGCCTAGGATACATAAACTTAATTTCATTTCACCTTTAAGTTATGTTTTTATATCGTAAGAGGCTCTCACATTGACAAGGTAAAGTTCGCCTGTATTTTAGTTAAAATTACACTGAAAATATATTTGTACATATTTATGGCTAAGGGTTTGTACTGAACAAATATTAATCTTTATTCCAGGAGCAGTGCAAAGTTATTATCCTATGGAACTGGAAATGCTGACCTGAACGTTCTCATGTCTGAGGTGAAGGACATGAGAAGTAGTGCAAAGTCGTTTATGGGAGCTCAGCACTTAGGTAAGTCATTACTAGGTAATGGTGGCTCTGACCTTAGCTATATAGGTTAGTCATTATGGTAGCTCTTGCCTTAAGTAAGTCATTTATTGGCGGCCTTTTATTGGGGCTCAGCACTTAGGTTAGTCATTTACGGGAGCTCCGAACTAAGGTTAGTCATTCATGGGGCTCAGAACTAAGGTAAGTCATTCATGTGGCTCAGAACTAAGGTAAGTCATTCATGGGGTTAAGATTAAGGACTTAGAGAAGTCATTTATGGGGACTCTGAACCTAATAAGTGACTCATTAATGGGGGCTCAGAACTTAGGAAAGTCATTATGGGAGCTCAGAACTTAGGTAAGTCATTAACGGTGCTCAGAACCTAAGTGAGTCATTAATGGTGGCTCAGAACTTAGGTTAGTCATTATGGGAGCTCTGACCTTAAGTAAGTCATTTAACGGAGCTCAGAACTTAAGTAAGACATTTATTGGGGCTCAGCACTTAGGTTAGTCATTTATGGTTGCTCAGAACTAAGGTAAGTCATTCATGGAGCTCAGAACTTAGGGAAATCATTTTTGGGGGCTCAGGACCTAATTAGAGAGTCATTAATGGAGGCTCAAAACTTATGAAAGTCATAATGCATATGGGAGCTCTGAACTTCAGTAAGTCATTAACTAGGGCTCAGAACTTCAGTAAGTCATTAACTAGGGCTCAGAACTTCAGTAAGTCCTTAACTAGGGCTCAGAACTTAGGTAAGTCATTCATGGTGCTCAGAACTTAGGGAAGTCATTTATGTGGGCTCAGAACCTAAGTGAGACATTAATGGTGGCTCAGAACTTAGGTTAGTCATATATGCATTGTGGGAGCTCTGGCCGTAAGTCATTTATGGGTGCTCAGAACTTAGATAAGCCATTTATGGGGTCTCAGAACCGAGGTAAGTCATTCAGTGGGCTCAGAGTTCCGGAAGGTCGTTAAATGGGGGCTTAGAACCTAGATAAGTAATTTATATGGAGTCTAATCTAGGTAAGTCAAATGCAATATATGTGAATATTTTTATTTTTTATTTTCAGCATCTCATGATATGCTGAAGTGGGCGGCAAATGAAGAGAACCGAGCAATTCAGGTAACTCATATTTTATTAAGATTAGTGTCCTGTAATAAATATTTGGTGACAGGAATTACCAAATAACTTCCCTTTAGTCTTTATTCAACGGACTCCAGATTATTATAAATATTGTTTTAACCGATTGAGCTCTCCAGTCAACAGAAGTGAACTAGCCTAAATGTATAAGTGTTATAAATATCCAATTGGAAGTTGAAGGGAGATTCTATTATAATAATAATTTGAGGTTCTTATATACCGCTTTATCACAACCTAGTTCGTAGGTCGTCTCAAAGCGGTTCACAAATTATTTTCCGTGGTTATAGGGCCTTTGCAACTAGCCAATATCTTTCTCAACTCCCTGGGGAGCATACAGCCGGAGCTGCCATTTCGGTGCTAACAGCTAGCATTCAACATTTCTAGCACTGCCCAACCAGGTACTCATTTACAGCTGAGTGGACTGGAATAAGCGGAGTAAAGTAGCTAGCTCAAAGATACAACACAGTGTCGTACCGTGACTCGAATCCGCAACCCTTCGGTCACGAGCCTGGCGTCCTACCACTAGACTTATGTGCCTCCTTATATGATTATATGACTACTGTATAAAGGAAAACTGATAGTGCAGTGGGACATGAATCCAAAGTGTTTCATTAGAGTAAATCTGGAGTCAAGCTGCTAGTGGTAAAAATGGTACGGCACTGTCATGAAATATTTGTATAGAAAGGATCCCAGTGCCAAAACTTGAAACTTTTAATTGGAATTTCTTTTTACAAATATGACAAAAGTTTTATCATTTCTGAAAATCAATGATCAAGATACATAAATACCGAGGTAAACGAAACAAATCTACAATATTGTTCTGAGAAAAAAAATGCAGTTTGACCATGGCAGGATTTGAACCCTGACCCTCTGATCACAATACAGTAGCTCTTACCAACAGAGCAGTTAGATAAACATCAGTTCTGATCATTGACCCAATCCCACTACAGTTATATCCAAAACAAAATTAAAGGGATGTTACTGTTTGTAAGTTCTAAGAGTACAGTTGAGTTATCTAGTGTACTGCCCGGAATGGGACAGGGGTCCTTAATCAGTTTCCTTGTTTCCAAATCCTTTATCATATTAATATGAATGTTCATCATGAGAATGAAACCAATACAAGTAAACGGTTTTTAAACATATACATGTGTATACATTTGTGTATATAATTTTCAACTGCCAAAGAGAAGAATGTTGTGTATTGATGTTAACCTATTTCCTATATTTCAGGATGTGACAAACCAAATTTCTGAGTTGAACACACAGTGGACAGATGTACAGAGGGATTTTATATGTAAAGTTTAATTTCTTCTTGTTTATCATTTGTATTAAATTTGGTATTTGCTATAAAACGTAAATGTATCTGAAAATTGTATATGTGGTATTTATATTCATGTGATATTAACAGTTTTAGACTTTTGTTGAAGTCTCTGTCAATATCACTTTCTCATGTTCCTATAACCTCATTCACTGAAATAAGAGTCCTTAATTGTTATATTAAATGCACTTGCAAAATAATGTTTAAATCATAAAACAAAATGGAACCTAGGAAAATTGTTAGGAGGAAAGTATTGCAATTGGCAGAGAGCACAATTGAAATGATGTCATAAAGTGAATATTATTAACCTGCTGTTTCTAAAAATAGTAACATCAAGTCAATATCACAAATCACCAATCTCCACAGGATTGTGATACTACCAATGAGGATGTATAGAGGTGGTAATTGTTATATTAGATGTGCTAGCAAAATAATATTTAAATCATGAAACAAAATGGAACGTATACAAATTGTCAAAAGGAATGTACATGTACTGTATTTGGCAGAGAGCGCAATTGAAATAATGAAAAAAATAAAAAATATATATTGACCTTCTGTTTCTAAAAATAGTAACACAAAGTTAATATTACAAATCACTGATCACCACAGGATTATGATTTAACCAATGAGGATGTAGGGAAAATGTGTGTCATCTAATATACATTTATAGCATCTAGAGCAAATGTTCAGAAATAACTCATGGATAGCTAATTACGCCCTGACCAGTATCTAATATTAGAGAGCAACGTGGCATCAAAATGGAAATAACAGAAATGTTCAAATGTACGGTTGCCTCTCCTATATATATATATATGCCATTGAAAAAATGAAGCATGACCATGTCTCAATTGCTATTTCAACCCTTTCAAGGACAGTACAATTGTCAACAAATACAGAACAGTTTGGGCAGATGGCAACTAATCTGGACACAAAAATAAATGCTTAATAGTCAGCTAGTGAACATCAAAGCAGTTAAAACAGTCTTCAAGTGGTTTATTGTTTAGTTGGCTGTAAAAAGGCAGAATGCCAATTTTCAGGAATCATTTGTATTTCAATGAGACATGTTAGGGACACCAAATGACAACTCTAAACCAACTTTTCCTTTCAGATTCAATAGGTCAATGATGCATTGAATTCAAAAAATTTCATCTGACAGTGTACCTTTTCAATATCAATGCATGGAACAGTTTTAAAGGGCTTATTTGTTTAAATTACCAATAAACCAGTAGAAAGTGATATTTGTAAAAAATACAGTAAAATAAGTTCCCTAAGTACCTAAACTAAAAATCCTAGGTCAGGTTTAGGCAAACACACTGACCTTATTGATGTTATCTAAAAACTATCATCAAATTTACTGAATGAAGTGAATTTATATTTGCAATCATTTGATATTGTTAAATGATTATGTTCGACTAGGTTTTTTATGTACAAAGAAGTTGAACAGATGATATGTTGGTTTCAGATCATCTAAAGGAATACAGACAGATGTTTGAGATGATTTTGGAGGGGGAGAAGCATGTGGCCCAGGCCAAACAAAACTTGGTAAGTTATACATATTTCTCTCAGGACTGTTCCATAATTAGGTAACTGTAGGGGAGAGGTGCATGTGGGAGGCACTTTTTCAGAGAATCCACCACCGATAAAATCTTAAAATTGATTAAATATAAGGAATGGAAGGCAGATCCGGATTTAACCCTACCACCCATAATATATTAATACAGGTGACTCCCACCTCCCCTATACAATACATTATGGAATAGCCCTTATAGAAATACATGTTATAACAAAATTAACAAATAAGATTACCTGGTAGTATTGATATATGGAAATTTCGAAATAAAATCCTTTTCTTCAAAAGTGTTCCATATGCATGTAAATTACCTCTTGTGATACATTTTGCAGAATTTAAGTTGTCTGAAGTTTGTGTAACAAAAACACCAAAAATACCTGCAAGGATCAAACTTCTGGCAGTGCAAATCCTAACTTCAACGATTTCAACGATGCTGGTGTGGAAGAATCATAAATGCACAATATCAAAATGATAAATAAATGCCTTTACAAGGGAAGTAACTCTAAGCCAAAAACAAGTCCTTTTAATATGTTGATTCATTTTCTATATATAAAGGGTGATATGAATAAGTACTCCAAATAAATAAAAGAAGTAGAAAGAAATTTCAAAAATTTGAAATTGATTTCTTCTTCAAATTTATAACTGATGCAGTGGTACCTTTTACCTTTAGGACCATTCCAGAAATCATAGACACATAGGATAGATGGTATTAAGGAACTTTCTTTGTTAAATTGGTAACACTCTGATTAAAATGTATATCATTGTACAGCTCATTGTTAATACAACAGGACCAAAAACATACTTGTTTGCTATTAACTTCGACGAGAGCTAGATTGAAGCTCTGAAAGTAGCACATCTGCATGTACATTGTATGATTATAAAAATAATGTTTTGGAATATTGTTCTCTTTTAAACAGGCATTATGTGAGCAAAAGGAACTTAAGATCAGGAAGGAGTTAAGGAAAGCAGCCAAGGTATAAACTTTGTGATGTTTGTATAGCTCTCTCGGGAATAAAACTTCTGTACTAATTTCCATCTTCAAAATCCAAAGGTTCAGTTTTTGATACACATACTTTCTCTGCACCCTTTTAATATGTCAGGACAAATCAAAGGCAGCTATTTGATTGGTATCATGTACAAAATAACCTGATCAATCCCATTAGCGCTTGGCAGATACCTGTCCCTTTTATAGTTACAGAGTAGGGACACCCATGCACCTTCAAAGCCAGTCAGTTTTACTGTTATGCTGATGTGGGATTCTTTTGTTGTACATACAAAATTATCAAACTAGTCTATATGTATCATCCACAGTGGTGTGTATAGGGCTTTCAATTTTTATCATGAGATATTGTTAGGGTGTATAAAAGATGTGTATCTAGAGCAGAACCCTTGGATTTCGAAAATGACTAATTCCTTACAATTATAATTACAAACTGGGGTATTTGATGTTTCTTCAGCCATAACATAAACAAAAACCTATTGTACCAAATTTAAAACATACAGATAAGTCTGTATGATTCTTTTACCATTAAGCTAAAATACCATCACATCACATCATAAATGACTGTGATGGCAATTGCATTCTATAAGTCAGTTCAATAAAAAAAATCATCTGGGAGATTACGTAAAGATAGGGACATTCATAAAAGTCGAATAGTACGTGTGAAGCAATTTAAGAGATAATATACATGTACCAGCTAGACAAAGGAAAGTTTGATATGTTTTTTAAGAAATTTAAATCTTACACAACATATAGATAAGGTTAAGGATTAGCATGTATCATCTTACTTTTCTTATTGCAGAGAGCTTCAGCATCTGAAATCAGTATGTTAGAGGGTCGACTGGGCCAGGCTGAGCGAGCTAGAGAAGTCGCTGAAGTTGAAGGTATGACAGTACTCTGTAACTTTGTTGGTCTACGGTACAATGTAATCTGGTTAAACAAGTATACGGTGTAACTTTATTTACCCAGAGAACGCTGTAACCTTGTTTATTTTGATTATAGTGTAATTCTGTTTATAAAAATAACAATGTAGCCTTATTTATAAAAACAAAATCAGTAAACAAAAACAATAAACTAACCTTGTTTATCTACTGTACAGTGTAACTTTTCATTTCTGAAGAACAGTGTTAAGGTCACAAGTGGTTCATACAGATGACTCAGCTGGAAAACTCAAAATATGAACAGAGGCAAGGGGGGCACCAGATGAGTCAACTGGATGACCCAATATTGAGCTAAACAGGAGAGTGTGCTAGATCTACACCCTACCAGTAACTTATTCGATACATTGTATGCACTCTCTATCGATAGGCAAAATGTCCAGTGTTGGGTGACAGATGAAATTTACAATTTCGTCACATCATTGTTCAGGTAAACAAAACAAATCGCTCACTCAGTCATAGCTTAACAAAGGAACAAGTCAGTTTGAAACATTGTGACACATTTAATACATACATTGTTTATTAAGTTAAACTTTGAAAGTACAGTTTGACGTTATTTATCCAGTGTTGCATGATTAAAAGTACATTATTTTGATAGCCATAATGTAATTTACAGTCACACGTTAAAAAAAGTAGTTGTTTGCAATTAATATATAGTATTGCCACTGCTAATCTGAAAGATGATATTTTTGTTTTAACAGTCAGCGAGAGGGTCCGTGAGAACGAGGCTGTAAAGTTGATCCGTATGAAGGAGGGATTATTAAGAGTGTCCGAGGCCTATGTAGAGCTGGGCAGTAAATGTGCCATGATATTTGAAGCACAGAGGGTAAGTAAAGTACTACCACATACATACAGCCTCTTGATTGATTAATAGAATCTTCCCCTACCTTGAGAGTGTGACAGAGACATCTCCAACCCGAGGAGTGATGTTTTTGGTTATCTAACCCAAGGCTCTTCCGAGAGTTTGACAACCAAAAAATAACTCTGATGGTTGGAGATTTCTGTTACACCCTCAAGTTAGGGGATGATTATTTTTCTCCAATCCTATCATTTCAGTCACAACTCCACCGACAGTAATCTGTTTGTAAAAAAAAAACACATATGGGGTATGAATATCGCCCTTCATTTTTGATGACGTCACAATTACCGGTGACGCATTTTAATGACGTCACAATTGAACACATGCTAATCGGCGCGAGGCTATCTCCCCCTAGGGGTTGGCAAGCTGATCTTTCCCGGCTAAAACGGGAGACTTACCTTTGAAGGTGGGAGAAATTCAGATGAAAAAACAATATTTGATTGATCACGCATATTTTCATCACTCGGGTTTCTTCCGCCAGAATATGAAGTTGGATTGGTGTAACCAAATGTATATGATGATATTGAGATTAATCGTCTTGTTGTAGGACATTGCTTTCCAGTTGCCAGATGTCCATGGAAAGGAACTGGAGCAGGTGAAATATACAGGTCAGTTGTAGAAGTATTTTGGGTCCATTTGCTTCCAAAATGGCTAAAAGTCATAGATATATATTGTATTGCCCCTCAATCACTCTTCCATTGCCTTTTTGTTATACACGATGTTGTAAATTTCATATACTGTATTCTGGGAATTTTTCATCCCCTGCAATTAGGGAGAATTCATCATGACAACAAACTTTAGTACATAACATTAATTCCCTGTATAAACGGCGAATGATTGACTAGGCAACAGTTTCCTGGCATACAGTGTTATTTATTGGGCAAATTAATACATTTATGTCATTTCCCTTGAGACGATCATGATTTCTAATATCATGCAAGAATTTATTCATAAATGATTTATATAAGAACATACTGTGTTTTATTTAATGTGTCTTAGTATCAAAGTATTTCAATTTACTTTGATGCATGAAAATTTTGAGTTCCAAATTGATCGAGCTTAGTTTGTGTTTGATTATCAGTTTTTCTGTTGAAATCAATTGACTTTTACTCCTTGGTCATTATAACATCAGTATTTAAGATATTCTTGATTTCTTCAACAGTGTCTTTCTTTGGTTTCAGGAGCTGGAGCCACACAGCTATATGTGAAACAGGCCAAGGATGGGGTGAAAAAGTATAAACGGAAGTCCCATCGACTAGACCCCCCTCCTTTTTCTGAGCATGCAGACTACTCCAGAAACACATGTAGGTGGTCAACCTATTTCTGATTGGTCATGTAATTAATGTGTATCAGTTGTCAACTTGTTGTGAAGGTGCTTTAAAGGTTTGTTAAACAATATGAGACATAAAAGAATTGGGTCACTCTGACCTTAATATAAACTCAATGTTTTAAATACAGGGTAGGCATAAAGATTTTCGGAAGATATTTTGGGTACGGTTTTATGTATTGACATCAGACTTTGAAGTTTTATCATTGTCAGAACATTCATATTCATATCTACAACACTATTTACTGTAAATTTTCAGGTGTGGAAATGTGTAAGTTTAAACTCTTCAGGGTTTCGAAATATTTTTCATTCTAATATCATTCTTAAATCTATATATTCATGTATAATCTATATAATCGATAAATATTTCCACACTAGTTTTCTCAATGTGGGAAAACTCGGCAAAAATGTCTACTCTTACAGTGCAAAGGAACTGATAAATTGGGTGCAGGGGCATCCATGAATCCCACACTTAAAAGTTAAATCTAGTTTTCCAATTACTTTTCTGTTAAATAGGGCCTATGTTTAACACACCTGTATACACAAAAAAATGGTTGTGAGACTCTCTTCTTTAAGATGTATTAAAGACGTAATACATCACTTATTCCCATATTTAGATACGAAAACTTATAGTTGGTCGATGATGAATGGTAAAAGGTTTGATGTCTCACATAGTCGGCTGTAGACACTTTATATCCACACAACACCTGCCATAAAACAATACCTGCCATGTCAAGTTACATGACAGATTATTATTGGCATGTACAACAAATAGGTCTTTAAAAAAGGGTGTGTGTCTTAGATTTGACACCCCCCCCTATAGAAGACCAACATTTATTTACAACTTGAGTTGTGTGTAGTACAATGTGATCTACAGCTGAGGTGAGATAGAGGACAACAAATACTGTCTGAGACCAAAAACAGGACACTTTAATCATCTTTTAATCATCTTTTCAAAATATATCTAAAACTTGGAGTCAAGTTTTAGATATATTTTGAAAAGATGATTAAAATTTGAACATTATTATAATTTACCATTCTTTGTGAGGAAACTTATGATTGGTAGCCCAAAATGTGTTTGTCACTTAACCAGAATAAAACATTCTCCTGTGGCAAAATCTAGCAAATCTCTGTGCAGAAACAAAGACACAAAAAAACGTGTTTTGAAGAAATGTTAAAATATATTACATGTTACTTTTAGTGAATTTGTGTGGCAGTGAGTATTTTGTTTAAATATAGATTGATCAAAATCTTTCAGACTTTCTATATATTATATTAAAGTGGTAATATGAGTATTAATTATTTTGTACTTTTAAATAATGTATCTCTAGCGCTATCTATTTTAATACATGTACTTGTCAAACCCGTTTGTGCAGTTCACATGTCCACCTGAGTATTTTTCACCTGTATTGTATTGTCGTGTTAATTTTCTTGTCACGTGATTGCGTGTTCGTACGTGTACCCGTGAGTTGCATTCCTGCACTTGACATGAAGAGCATGTAACACGTTCTCGTACAATCTATACAGACGACCTATACCTACAGACTATGAACTTAAAGTGCAGCAATATCATAAAATGAATTGAATATAGACGACAAGCCGTTATAAGTATTGTCATTAAGACCCCTGTCAGATTGATAGAGGTCCTCTTTGTGATATGAAATAAACCACTAAAATGGAATCACAGTATTGATTATTCTGTCATAAACCAATGTAGAGTTGACCCGGCTACATTTGTAAACAGATTTATTTAAAAGAAAGAAAGAAACACTGTCTTAATCTTACCAAAGTAAACCAGATATCTTAAATATCTTAGGCGAAACCGTGTTGAATGATAAATAAGGGCACAGAAGTTAGTCCCTTGTTCTGAGATCCTCCGCCATCACCTACACACCACAAACAGTAATTTCCATATGTGTTAACAAGAACGAGTATCATTACATTTGCATAGTCAAACAAGTTTTCAACATTTTGTTATTATCTTTGAGAATTTTATCTTTGTTTGTGAAAGAAAGAAAAAAAAGGATCATAAAACAAAACTATTTAAACACTTGAAGAGTGGCAGGTAGCCAGTGATTTTTTCAGTGTTATCATTCTTGCTTAACAACATTACAAGATTAAATATCCAAGAAAGTTTTTGAGAATAATATGTTTGTTCACTTTTGTATGAATCAATCTTAATAAAAAAAATGTTGAACAGATGCAACAGAAAAGTTCAGGTCAAATTTTTGCAATGGAAGTGCTGATAAATTTTAAGTAAAACCTTGTGTACACTGCCAGCATTTGTTTAGAGAACGTTTGGCATCATAAAGGGGTTTGGTGATCAAATGAGGTAAACATAAAGGAATTCTTAACAAAAAAAGAGAAAAAAGGAACTTGAAATATGTTGGATGTAAACAAGGTGGCAAGGTATTTATCTTGGACTGTCTCTACATTTCTAATCATTACATGTATTCAAAAAAGATAATTGTCCTTCCTCTCCTGTCGAGCATCCCTGCAGTATCTGGGAGAGACATTTCGGCAGTTTAACCCAAATCACCCACCATTATCTGACTTTACCTTTTATGAAGATGTTAAACCCCCAACAAACAAGCTCGACTGTTTGTTATAAGAACTGGGTATCACATGATGTAACAGTTTATACATAACAGTGTATGTGATGTATTGTTCATTTTGCTATTTTGTATGTTATGTCTGACGATGGTTAGCGTTCCTCCTGACAGGTGACGAGCCTCCCCCTCCGTATTACCCTAGTGACGAGTTCCTGAATCAGAGTGAGAACAGTAGCGACGGAAGCAACCTCTACAGCCCAATAACTACCCAGACACAAACACCCGAACACCGAAGGTCCTATCCTATGACGTCACCCCGACACCTCACGGACCCCGAGGAGGAACTCAGTACAACTATGGGTGCATCGAAACTAAGCTGATGAAGTGATGTGTTGATTATAGCATTAAAATTATATTTACCTTCAGATATTATAATTAGCATGCAGGGGCCTTGGACTGTTTTGTTAAACAAAAATGAAGTTTCCATTTTTACGTGATTATTTAACTACACAGTGGATCTGTGTCATGGAATTGTATTAATGAATGAATTAATTGTTCCTATATCTTATTACTGTATAGTGGTTATATTTTGTGGGGGTTTAGTTTCGCTATATTTGCAATTTGACTAATATGCGCGAATTCTAAACACCAGTGAAATTATCGAAAATGTTACTACTTTAACAGACCTTATCACAACAGGTTGAAAATACTTGTAACCCAACGCTGTTATGCAAGCTTACATTAACTCAAACTGGGCAGTCCATGTAAAAACAACACTTATATAAGTGACCACAGCATATTTATGTGTACACAGTAGATGATTAATTGATTACAGTTTACTCCTACAAAGGTACATACACATTTGATTTTCTTTCGAGTGAAGTCACTGGCGGATGACAACGCTCAGGATCAGTGTTTTCAAACGGTTTACCTGTATTTCGTGGTTTAACTCTTAAATGATGACACTCAAAGGACTTTGCATGACACATGTGATTCGGTGGCACAGCGAAATATTGACCCCGCAAATTTAAAGCGCTATACAGGAACTAACTTACCTGTTACTTTCCCATAATGTCAGTAGAAATTTTACATAATAACCTACGAGAATTTGATAGAGAATTCTTCTCAAATGATAAGGCCATATGACTCAAATGATCCAAAAGGTGGGGGATTATTCATCAATTGTAATCTTAAGAAAATTGAAAACCTGGATTTATACTAGCTCGATCAAATTACAAGTGTTCAAAATTGTTCAAATCATGAAAGTAAGGTCAAAGAGCAGCTTTGATTTAAAATATTTATCAACATTTGTAAACAAGATATTGTCTTTATTGTCAGAAGTCACTTAAAAGTAGGCGAAGTGGTGGTGAGTAATACATTTCCTTTATGCCATGTTGCCAATTTATTTTTACACGGTCATCTTAACTCTATAGATTAGAGGATGCTTCAAAATTAGTTTGTCTGTTTAATTGCCTTGTATTTACCAGGTAAGATATTATGTTTGATTGTTAGTGTATGTTTTTCTGTCAGTTTATGAACTTACTCATAGAAGGTTTTATATTACATAGTTTTCTTAAATGGATACCAGAAGAACTTTTAGATTAGAAAATTTTAGAAACTGAGACAAGACCAATTTTTTTATTGCAGCTTTTCTAGATTGTCAGAAGTTTGCAAAGTGCATCTTATAAAAATTTTGACATGGCAGCTTTTAGAAATTTTGAAAAGAAAACTTCCATTTTACTTATGATTTCTGCACATGGAAACTTTTGCATACAGTTTATTGTATCTGCCACTCTAGAGAGAATTTTATATTTCTAGTCATCAAGCTTTTGTACATTGTTCATGCTTAACTGAATACAATGCTGCTATTTTTACGATTCCCCAAAAATATACACCACACCAATATAAAACACATCACACACACACATGGGGCCTGTTCGTTTATGCGGAAGAACTGGTTTGTCTGTTTTTAAATGTAACATTTTCGGGTATAAATCCTGGCAAATCTGCAAATGTTTATGCAGGCCTTGCAAGACTTTGTCAAGGCTCACATGAAAGTACCATCAGATTACTAGATTCCGATCTTATTTCATTTACGAACATCTCTGGTCCAACCAGTCCAGCTTGCACGCATACTTTGGAGTATCATTAATTTTTCCAATATTGGAATATAACATAGAAAAATGTTAAGTTCCATAATCAGACACTTGTATCAGAGTTTTTGTTACTGGATGGGAAAACGTGTCAGCATTATTGTGCTTAAAAGTATATTCTTCACAGATGACTTCTTAACCTATTTAAGGATCCCCATACCACTTCCAAAAACTGTAGCTACGCTTCGTTAACTTTTTTCTGGCATGGCTTAAGCTTTGATAAAGAATTTTTAAAAAGAAAAATATAACCTGCAGGCCTTTAATGAGAAAATAATCAAAATGAAATTTAAAAAAAAGGTATTGTTCTGAATGTAAAACATCTGTAGGGCTGGACCGAGATTTGAACCTCAGACTTCAGATTTGTATACTATAGTTCTATCCGACTGAACTACTTAGTTAACAGAAGTGTCCTGGCCCAAATGTGCTTTATTAAAGTTTTTAAAGTTTTTAATTATATAAAACGAAATTCAGAGGAGGTTACTGTAGATAGGAAACAATTCGGTGATTTCAGATTTATAAATTCTGAAATCAGGGGTGGGGGCTACTTGTTAATTCCTTCATTACACTTCAAGACATTCAAATATTATATTATTAAATGCATCATTAATAATCAGACGCCAAAATTCACAAAACAGAAAGAAAACTAGCGTAAACCAAAACGATCAATATTATATAAACTACATTTGTAATCAACCTTTAACATGAATCCTGATATGATGAAGGTTTTTTTGCTAGTAACATAGAGCAAATTTCAGCAGTTCCCAAAATCCTTATTTTTGGATAAACATGTACAGTTTAACAAATTAATATATATGTATCTGTAATAATAAATATTAATAACTTCCTGATAATAAGCACAAAATATGAATTTCCAGGATCCATACAAAAATCATATCGGTGTATATGTTTACAAATTGATTTTATTATAATTTCAATATCAATTTTAATAGTTCCCTGGTGACAGTAATATTGTTAATTATAGTTTTTGTGTAAGGATCTTTCCATTATATGTAACAAATGTATATGAGTATAATTTGTCTTTCCTATTATGCGTGTAGCTTTGCGATTGTTAACAACATTTTAACGTTTTGTTGATTTTTGATTATGTGTAGCCAGGTGTTGATATATGTTGTTTTAATTGCACTTTTTCATGCAAACTATTTATAATTTTATATAAGTTTTGAATACTGGAAAGGAAATTATAATCCAGCATATTTCTTATCAGATTTAGCTTATCTTTTGTGTATCATTCATTACAGGCAAGAGGTGATATGCATGTAGCTATATTTAAATATGGACTTTATTTCTTTTACAACAATCATGAAACAAGTTTTTTCGACTAATATTAATCACTGTTGTTGGCCCAGATGTTCGAATGTGGGGGTCCTATCGTGGGAGGAAACTGGAGTCCCCAGAGAAAACCCACGTGGTCAGGCAGGTTACTTCTTACCTTTTCACGTCTGGTTGGAGAATCAAACCCTAACTGCCTTGTTGAAAGGCGAGTGTGTTATCCACTGACCCACCCGACCATCCATGAAGCTATAAAACATTTAGAAAGTATTCAGACCTGCTGCATGCCTACAGAAAAGATGGAACATTGAAATCCATAAAAATGTATAAAAATCACTGGAAATGAAAAGTTTTCCAAATGTGACGAGATGAAATCATTAAACTTGTGTTGTCTTGGCCTAAACATAACCCTTATTTCCTTTTGTAATCGGAGGCTTTAAGTGTAAGGAATTTACTATGTTTTATATAACTGGATATAAATTAAAGTTTTTCTGATCCTTTTTACTGGGAATATGAAATATCGATTGATAAATTTATAATTTGAGTTAAAATATTTAAGGAATGCATTAGGAACTATATTCATATTCACTGTTTTTCATACCTCACCATAAAAAGGTTTGCAAAGACACACTATAGTGGAAGCTGAATATATTTAAAACTTACATTGCTTTATGCAAGAGTGACCTCAAAGAGTTCTTAACATTTAATACTAATAGCTGTTATATGGGTTTTCAAACCTTTGCTTGATAACATTCATTTACTCTTTATTTTCACAAGTATCATATTTTTCAAATTCTTAGATGAAACTGCTTAGTTTGAAATTAAAAATGTGATCATCTGAAAACAAAAATATGAATAACTAGATTCAGAAAAAAGTCTTTTTGAGGATTGCAGGAAAATCAATGCTTATAATTTCAAGAAATGTAAAATAGAGCCAGAGAATAACATTTCAGACCCGTATTAGGGCCATATTCCAGTAAAAATCTATACCACCCAAGCCTTCAGGTTTCGTTTCGGGTACCACTCGTAAATTTATAATTTTTGCATAAAATTAAGAGGCAGAAAACCCAACCATCTATAGATGTGATTTATTTTAGAGGTCTGGGGGTTAAGTAAATTATCACTGGAATTGTCCTTAGGCTGAAATAGAACATAAGAGGTAAATGGTCTTCAGTTTTGCGGAAGATTTATTACTTTTATCTCTTTAAGGTTTATCCATCTCTCATTAATCCACATCTCGTATTTTATGTTTGTACATTCCCCAAATCCCAAATTCCAGTCTTTCCTGTTACTCATTATTCTGTGTTTGAAGTATGGAAAATATGCTTAAACATTGGTTTCACTGATTATTTTGCAGATTTTATAGGACTATATTTCTACTGATGGTGCTTTGTTGTATTATTTTAACCTAGTGTTGAACCAATAATACAAAGGTTATTTAGCTGACACAACTCTGTAATGAATGTAGGAAGTGTATTGTTCAGAAAATATTATTCCCCTTTAGTAAGAAATGAAATCCATGGCACCATACCGGTATATATTTTATAGCTTAGTGCTGTGTGAACTGGCTGATTTAGATTTAATGTAATGCAAGCTTCCTATTTGGTGTATCGTTGATAGAACATTAGTATTTTTACTGCAGATTTTAAAATGTTATAAACATGTGGATACTGAGAACGTGCATATCTTAGCATTACCTAATCATCAGTATTCTAATTTCTAGGGCTGTTCCGCGCTAATTTCAGTCTCTATAGATAGTTTAGTATTACTCATGTATCGCAAGTGCGCCAATTCATTGATGTGCTTACCTGTTAAAATTCAATAATACGTTAAAATCAGAGTCCACTAAATTAAGTACTTTTACGGTATTCCCAATATCTTTTACATTTGAACAAAAAACAATAAAACACTCAGTATTTATGTGAAGAATAAAGGGGGGGGGGGATTTCCTTTAAGTGTAAAAATAGATTATAAGTTAGTGATTTGGGCGAGGATGCCTACCTCGACGTTTATTTTTACATGACAATGCTACAAATGATCGTGTGGTGTACACGCTGTTTTATGTTATTTTTGGACACTGGTTGTCTAATTTACTGGCACTGGTGTTGAATATATGTTGCTTTTCTTTATGTTGATGATCACTGGATGATAAGCACATGTTGTATATATAGCGTTTGAATATTTATTATTAAAACAACTATGACATATGTTTTATTTTATTATTTTATTCATTTATTGACAAATTGATTGAAAATCTTTCATATGACTTTAAAATGTCGTCAAAACTACATTTATAACAGTTTGATGATGGACGTCCTTTATATAGCCTCATGGTCGATATTGACTGGTTTAACGTTAGGCCAAAAACACGGGGGGTGGGGGAGGGGTATTAAAGATTTACTGACAGTTTACCAATGTATCGTAAATGTTCTGACTAGAGTTTATTTTGATGAGGAGGACAAAAACACTGAAAAGTTATGTTTCATGTAAAAAAATCTCCATGTGGTTTATCACCTATTGGGTCTCAATACAACAAGTGAAGAAGAAATAAAACATCAAAGATTGAGATACGTCAAAAGCAATGGCTTTATAATACTGTTAGTTAGTACAGTATAGTTAGTATACTGTGTATACATCGAACAATCGTCATCGTACCTTTGCTATGCATTTCTACAGGAAAAGTCCCCCGACCAATATAAACTAACTAGTTTCATCAATTTACAAACTAGGTAAAAGTGACTTGTTTGGAAATTACTGAACCATTTCTTAAATTTCAGTTCAAATTACCGATTTGAAAAAGTACCTTAGTTTTGTGTTTAGTGTGAGATATCAACTAATTCACACACGATAAGCCGGCGACAGGTGCCTACCACCCTGTTATTCTTTCGAAACTATTACTGCTAGACATGTTCTGTTTTTGCCTAACTCTCAACTTCCTCATGACAGGTTGTAGTAAATTAATCTTATCGCTCTGGCCGGTTTGTCATACGTTTAACAGTATTGTTTCCATGGTCTGTAAATACTATTTGGTCCCCGTTTTACATTATTATGGAGATAATTTTCGAAAAAAAATATCCGAAGTGATTTTGCTTTCACACTTCCGTCAGCTTCCTTCCATGGGTTCTGAGTTGTGAAGCTTAACAGTTCTTTGAGAGAAATGGAATGTCTTCTCAAGACGAATTACAAAATTGCAACTTCATCTTTTCCTATCTAAACTTGCCCTCCCTCGAACCAATGCATATCGGCGTTCATTTCATATTATCTACAAACTGACGTTCAATATTGTATTGGGTTCTCTACGCTCGCCATGTATGAACTATTGTCTGATATTCCACTCTAAAATAAAATACTGATTTTCTTTTTGTATAGTATCGGTTAGTTGCACTTTCTTTCATGGTTCCATCTCCATTTTGTGTCGCCCACATTGAAGGTATAAACTTTCATGGTTCCATCCCCATTTTGTGTCGGCCGACATTGAAGGATTTTCTTTTCTTGGTTCCATCTCCATTTTTTGTCGCCCACATTGTGGGTATATACTTTCATGGTTCCATCTCCATTTTGTGTCGGCCGACATTGAAGGTATATACTTTCATGGTTCCATCTCCATTTTGTGTCGCCCACATTGAAGGGATAAACTTTCATGGTTCCATCTCCATTTTGTGTCGCCCACATTGTGGGTATATACATTCATGGTTCCATCTCCATTTTGTGTCGCCCACATTGTAGGTATATACGTTCATGGTTCCATCTCCATTTTGTGTCGCCCACATTGTTGGTATATACTTTCATGGTTCCATCTCAATTATGTGTCGCCCACATTGTAGGTATATACTTTCATGGTTCCATCTTCATTTTGTGTCGCCCACATTGTGGGTATATGCATTCATGGTTCCATCTCCATTTTGTGTCGCCCACATTGTAAGTATATACTTTCATGGTTCCATCTCCATTTTGTGTCGGCCGACATTGAAGGTATATACTTTCATGGCTCCATCTCCATTTTGTGTCGCCCACATTGTAGGTATATACCTTCATGGTTCCATCTCCATTTTGTGTCGCCCACATTGAAGGGATAAACTTTCATGGTTCCATCTCCATTTTGTGTCGCCCACATTGTAGGGATATACTTTCATGGTTCCATCTTCATTTTGTGTCGCCCACATTGTGGGTATATGCATTCATGGTTCCATCTCCATTTTGTGTCGCCCACATTGTGGGCATATACTTTCATGGTTCCATCTCCATTTTGTGTCGCCCACATGGTTGGTATATACTTTCATGGTTCCATCTCCATTTTGTGTCGGCCGACATTGAAGGTATATACTTTCATGGCTCCATCTCCATTTTGTGTCGCCCACATTGTAGGTATATACGTTCATGGTTCCATCTCCATTTTGTGTCGCCCACATTGTAAGTATATACTTTCATGGTTCCATCTCCATTTTGTGTCGGCCGACATTGCAGGTATATACTTTCATGGTTCCATCTCCATTTTGTGTCGGCCGACATTGAAGGTATATACTTTCATGGCTCCATCTCCATTTTGTGTCGCCCACATTGTAGGGATATACTTTCATGGTTCCATCTTCATTTTGTGTCGCCCACATTGTGGGTATATGCATTCATGGTTCCATCTCCATTTTGTGTCGCCCACATTGTAAGTATATACTTTCATGGTTCCATCTCCATTTTGTTTCGCCCACATTGTAGGTATATACTTTCATGGTTCCATCTTCATTTTGTGTCGCCCACATTGTGGGTATATACATTCATGGTTCCATCTCCATTTTGTGTCGCCCACATTGAAGGTATATACTTTCATGGTTCCATCTCCATTTTGTGTCTCCCACATTGTGGGTATATACTTTCTTGGTTCCATCTCCATTTTGTGTCGCCTACATTGTGGGTATATACTTTCATGGTTCCATCACCATTTTGTGTCGCCCACATTGTAGGTATATACTTGCATGGTTCCATCTTCATTTTGTGTCGCCCACATTGTAGGTATATACTTGCATGGTTCCATCTTCATTTTGTGTCGCCCACATTGTAGGTATATACCTTCATGGTTCCATCTCCATTTTGTGTCGCCTACATTGTAGGTATATACTTTCATGGTTCCATCTTCATTTTGTGTCGCCCACATTGTAGGTATATACCTTCATGGTTCCATCTCCATTTTGTGTCGCCTACATTGTAGGTATATACTTGCATGGTTCCATCTTCATTTTGTGTCGCCCACATTGTAGGTATATACTTGCATGGTTCCATCTTCATTTTGTGTCGCCCACATTGTAGGTATATACCTTCATGGTTCCATCTCCATTTTGTGTCGCCTACATTGTAGGTATATACTTGCATGGTTCCATCTTCATTTTGTGTCGCCCACATTGTAGGTATATACGTTCATGGTTCCATCTCCATTTTGTGTCGCCCACATTGAAGGTATAAACTTTCATGGTTCCATCTTCATTTTGTGTCGCCCACATTGTAGGTATATACGTTCATGGTTCCATCTCCATTTTGTGTCGCCCACATTGAAGGTATAAACTTTCATGGTTCCATCTTCATTTTGTGTCGCCCACATTGTGGGTATATGCATTCATGGTTCCATCTCCATTTTGTGTCGCCCCCATTGTGGGTATATACTTTCATGGTTCCATCACCATTTTGTGTCGCCCACATTGTAGGTATATACTTGCATGGTTCCATCTTCATTTTGTGTCGCCCACATTGTAGGTATATACGTTCATGGTTCCATCTCCATTTTGTGTCTCCCACATTGTGGGTATATACTTTCTTGGTTCCAACTCCATTTTGTGTCGCCCACATTGTAGGTATATACCTTCATGGTTCCATCTCCATTTTGTGTCGCCTACATTGTAGGTATATACTTTCATGGTTCCATCTGCATTTTGGGTCGCCCACATTGTAGGTATATTCTTTCATGGTTCCATCTCCATATTGTGTCGCCCACATTGTAGGTATATACTTTCATGGTTCCATCTCCATATTGTGTCGCCCACATTGTAGGTATATACTTTCAACGTTCCATCTCCATTTTGTGTCGCCCACATTGTAAGTATATACTTTCATGGTTCCATCTCCATTTTCTGTCGCCCACATTGAAGGTATAAACTTTCATGGTTCCATCTTCATTTTGTGTCGCCCACATTGTGGGTATATACATTCATGGTTCCATCTCCATTTTCTGTCGCCCACATTGAAGGTATAAACTTTCATGGTTCCATCTTCATTTTGTGTCGCCCACATTGTAGGTATATACGTTCATGGTTCCATCTCCATTTTGTGTCGCCCACATTGTGGGTATATAATTTCTTGGTTCCATCTCCATTTTGTGTCGCCCACATTGTGGGTATATACTTACTTGGTAACGTTTCTGATTGCACGTGAAGTATTTATCGAGTCGTATTATAGTGATCAAACTTAACAGACGAAATATTCTATCCCGTCGCGATAACATCTGTATGAATTATGTAGTCATGCATTCCTCACAAAATATATGGAAACGAGGTTTAAATATGGAGTTTGCAGAGACGATCTTGCGAATGTCTCCGTGTTTGTGCTAGGTAAACGAATAAAATGGCTGGAGAAGAATTAATTCCTGTAGGAACTCTATCTAAATCAGAGATTTATAGCGATATAGTTACTCTATCGTTATAAATCTCTGATTTTGATAGAGTTCCTACAGGAATAAGGGAAGAATCAATGTGCATCATCATGGTTTGGTGTGTATTCTATAATCATAGTAGAACATCTTAAATACACAAAAGTTAATTTTCAGAAGTCAAATTAGAAAGGGTAACAACTAGAACAAAACAAAGAACCAGAGACGATCATACGTTTTTCAAAATGGTTAAACATTTTATTCACCAAATACTTGACAGCCGTAATAATACCTCTGATAAAATGTAAATAAAAAGATCTTAAACGTACGAGCCTGTCTAGTTGTGGTGAACACTGAAACCCATTGTTTTTATCTCAAGTCATAATCCAAATATCATCTCGTTGTCCAGATACCATGGAATGTCTCAAAAAGATTGTGTGTGTAACCCTTTTCCCGTTATTTCTAAATTGCCCCTGAAAGCTATGAACACTCAAGAAATCAGACTAATATTGGTCATCTGGAAAATCTTCATAAGCCAACTATTCTCCCTTAAAACTTATTCAACTAAACAATATTACATTGTTAAATGTTTCAAACATTTTTATTGCATTTATTTAAACAATTGACATAAAAAAAACAATTTTACTAGCGCTCCGAATGTTTTACAGATGATCTTGGTATTAATTCGGACAAATACGGTATGGTGGGATGGTGAAACCAAATCACGTGGCCTACATACGTCACAACACAGAGCATTCATCTAATTAAAACAAATTATTGTACATAATGACGTATGAACACATAAACTTAAGCTTACATTCTCAACCTCCACTTCCATCATACAGTACACAAGCTCACACAAGATATGTACATGCATGCAAGTTGAGATCATAAACTAAATACAGAAAATATAACTATACGCTAGCGTACAAGATGTACCTACTTTTGTTTGAGATGTATTTCGAATAATCAAGATTTACCTTATAAAGTCCTATTACCGCACTTATCTTTGTAAACCAATGCTTTTAGTCTAAAGTAAACAAATTTAAAACAAACTTTCAATTTTTTGCTGGAGTGAAACTGCAAATCAGAGAAAGAAACATACGTCTTGAAAGGACTAGAATATATTTCATTCATCGATACGTCTGAAAAGGACTAGAATATTGTACATGATTAAAAGAAATCGTTATTTTTTAAGTTGACGCCTAAGGATTTTTCCACTGGCTGTTTTTGGTATGGAGTCTGTCAATTCTACTCCTCCTCTCAACCACTTGTACGGTGACAAATGCTCTGGAAAAAAATAGAATAAACATTAACGACAGGGAACTCATTGTGTTTCACATCCGCATTGAAGGAGTTTGGCAATATATCGAAGCTTGAAATTTGAAACACTATATAGAGAAGGACATAGTATTTTTTTATTGCAGAAAAAGTGAAATCCTGAACTTGTTTAGAGGACGAATAAAAATTCAAAACAAATGGCGACATTACTTTTTAAGGTGGCTAACCCCATTAACATCTATTATTTGAGGTGATATTTTTACTGTTATAAACTGGTAAATTTTGTCACTTATTCTTCTAAAGTACAAACGCAACATTGTCTGTAATATAAAGTCACATGCAAGATGATTCATACCTTGTACAAACTTGGAAACGTCCTCCTCTGTGAGTTGACAGTCGGTCTTAGGGACGACAAACGCTCTGGGGACCTCGCCGTGACCTTCGCCAGCCTCTGACGTCACACCAATCACTGCCACATCTTCTACCATAGGGTGGGTACAGATAAGGGCTTCTAGTTCGGCAGGCGCCACCTGATGGCAAATGTAAGAGAAGAAAAGAATATCAAGAATTATCTTCTTTCATAGTTTTGATTCACATATGTCTTATCTGAAATCATATGAATGTTCACAAGTAATAAGACCATTCAAGTGCCATCTCACTTAGAGACAAGGAAAGGATACATTTACATAAACAAATGGATACCGTTACACAAAACTTTACTCGGTCTCACTCTCGCTCAACTATGACATTTGGTGTTTGCATTATTCAATCATTTTTCAGACGCATTAAACAATTTATCTTAAGTCAATGATAGACAAATGATCACGGGAAGACAGTTACCTAGTTGTCAAGGCTAAAACACTGACGTGAAAATGACGTCGCCAAGGTCATTACTGTTTTTTAGGTTCTTGACCTCTAGTCAACATCAGTGTATGGTTACCAATTGTATACTCGGAAGGCAAAATCATTACATGGATATCGAAGTCATTATCTGTTAATCAGGTCTATTTGAGGGAATGTCATAATCGTAATGCCATAATGGCCATAATGTGGTCTCTCAGTTCATTATCTGGAAGTGCACGTAATGATCTGTTATCCAGGATCATTACATAATACTTAAGGTAATTACCTGGTAGCCCTTGTACTTGATGAGTTCCTTCATTCTGTCTGACACAATAAAGTATCCCTCCTTGTCATAATGGCCGATATCACCTGGTTAGGAATAAAGAAAATCACAGTCATGAACTACTATTAAAAAAGGCTAACTTTTATTTTCAAGAATTTGAAAATGGAAAGTCACTTGAAACAAAGAGCAAATGTTATGGAAAATCAGGATTTTTAGTTTTGGTATACATCAAAGATAACCCCTTCCAATGCTACTTCTAAGAACAATCAGCCACAACTCTTACTCTATAAACTAAGCAACTACATGTATGTACTACAATACGCATGTAACGATTCAACTATAACGACTATTGTCAGAACCTTCCGTCCATAAATACTTCCTGTATGTAAACAATTATAGAAACTACTGCCTATATGTACTGTATCTAGTCAACCATCACCACTGCATGCCTACATGTTCCATAACTAGTCACCAAATACTTCTACTTTTACATAACTAGCCATCCATCTAAAGATACTATCGTATATAACCAGCAATCCATATATAACTGTTACCTTGTTGTAACCAGTGATCAGTTCAATAGCTACCATAGCTAGTCATCTATAACTACTACATTGTATGTAGCCTGTCAAGTGACTACTGCCGCCATGAAACAAGTCACCCACAACTACTACCTTTATGCAACTACTCAAACGAAAATACTTCTTGAGTGTTACAAGTATCCCACAACTACAACCCGTATGTAACCACTCAACCATAACTACAACCAGTATGTAACAAATAAATCATAACTACAACCTGTATGTAACCACTCAACCATAAATACTACCCGTATGTTACCAGTCAGCCATAACTACAACATGTATGTAACCACTCAACCATAACTACTACCCGTATGTAACAAGTCAGCCATAACTACAACATGTATGTAACCACTCAACCATAACTACAAACTGTATATAACCAGTCAACCATAACTACAACCTGTATGAAACCACCAGTCAATCATAACTACAACTTGTATGCTACAAATCAATTATAATCACAAACTGTATGTAACCACTCAACCAAAATGACTATCTGTAAGAAACCCGTCATCCATAACTACTACCTGTATGTAACTACTCAACTATAAATACTACCTGTATGTAACCAGCCATCCACAACCATTTCATCTGTAGCCTTCTGGTTATTGAGATAGCCTTTCATCACTTGTGGCCCCCGTATCATGATCTCACCGGTCTGTCCCTGGAGTAACGCTTGACCAGTCTCAATATCCACTACCTGAAACGCAAGTTGTTTAATTATCTACAAATTAAGTTTCCAGAAACATGATAACATCAAATACATCTGACTTGCATCAACAACAAATGTTCTGAAAGAAGAATTCTCCTTCAGGTTGACTAACTAAGCCTTTTCACAGGGGTTCAACTTTGTTATATTAGTGCTCTGGCCATGTGTCAGCAACCATTCATCACGAATATATGAATCCACTAAATTAATACATTATAGAGTATGTCTTAATAAGTGGTTTTAATCTTTAACTTTTGCTTCCTCAGTTTACACTAATTGACCTTTGATTATCACTTTAGTCATAATGACTCAAAGCCTCTCCATGGCCACTAAGAATTAAAATTGTTGTTCGCTCAAACATGCTGTCTCCAAAGGTTTATCATAAGACAGCAACCATAAAATTCCGGGCACAATCAGTTTTTATTTTGCAACCTTTATTAAACCATGTGCTCGTTTGAACTTGTAACCTTGACAGCTCTATTAACTAGGAATTCGTAACCCTGACTTATCTACTCACTAAGAACTTTGAACATTGAATACTGCCAGGGATGCGAGAGCGTGACTTCCCAACTGAATAGAAACTTTGACCTCTCCGTCTGATAGGAAAGTTGTTTATTTATTTGCATTTCCTGTACATTCGCAAAATGACAATTGTAAGTTGCGGACGGTTTTTGGGCATGCAACCGTCTTGAAAGTATCCCCAGTTATGTAACAGGAAAGACTTTTTTAATATACGACAAATGCCATGACCAATGGCACGGTGGTTTAAGCTCTATGCTTTATAATTTAAATAAATAGAAATATCTATACCACATTTGATATAGCGCCTTATCTAGCTAGAATAAGACACTCTGAAGCGCTTGATAGTACATAGATGTATATAGTATACGATCAATATAATTAGCATATGCATTAACTGTTACATTAATCAATAGAATTTGAGGAATTTGCAAGAGCTGTCTTGTCAGGCGCTAACTACAGTCCTTTGCCATCTGGCTTATATCTCCGTATATGTGTATGCCTGCGTGTGTGCTGGAGATGTTTGGTCCTAGTATCGAATCTTCTTAGCGGAGACAAGATGTATTTAAATCATCGTTAAAGTAAATGGGCAAGTAAATCAAAGTTATAAAAATGGAACCTGCTTCGTTGGCGATGAAGCACATAGAACTTTGACACTAATCGTGTCGTGCCATCGGAAATGCTTCAGAACTTACCAACCTATATTGTCATATTTCCAGCTTACCTTGCCGTCTGTGTTTGTCACCAATTGCCCTATGGTCCCCTCCTTCCCCGGGTATGTGTCATAGTGGGTGAGAGGACTACACTCCGTCAGACCATAAGCTATAATGATGAGAGATAAGTAATTTCGTATAACTCATAATGAAGATATGTATGCGTAGAGGAGGAATATTAGAGTTATTATTAACAGTTTTTGATTCTGCATACTTCAAATTCATTTGCTCATGACAAGAGCGATCAGTTTGTCTAAACAATCCGTAGCATACCCTCCCAAACCTCTATCGCAATTTGTACTCTTGCTTAAAGATATCAGGCATGGCATAATCTTTATTTTACCTATACCTTTGCTAAGTACTTTTAAAATTTACTTATTTTTCCTTAAAAGTTCTTGGAAGACTTAAACACAACCAACCCCTTTCAAACTAAAAGGAACTAGTAATTCATCAAACAAACTCTCTAGCCTTTCACCACATTAAGTCACAAGTGAAGTATGAAGACTTTAGGCAATATGGTCTCATTTCGCTCGTTATGCCCTTGTTACTTTAGGTGTTGTTCGTGATCATATATTTGAACAAACTTGATACTCTTCACCTCTGTTAGCGACTTGATGAATGACTTCATGCATTGCGGGTCCTTTAGATGACGTTATTTGACACTTTTGATAATTATTTCCATCCTTAGCTATTTGCCGAATATCATAACTTTGCGACAGATGCATAAGCTAAGAAAACATAAATGAAATCAGCAATGTCTTGATCAGGTGAACTGTTCGCCCTTAACATAGTCCCTGCACGATCATGCATATTTAGGAGTTTGGTCTTTTAGAATCACATCTCCATGCGCTTTCTCACATGTAAGCTACCTTGTGTGATGTCCACATTAAGCCTGGTCTTTGTCTCCCCCGTCAGCCCCACCCCCAGGGGCGCGGCTGCACACACCAAAGTCTTCAGGCTGCTCACATCAAACTTCTCCACAAGGGGGCTCTTAGCCAGAAACAGTATGGTTGGTGGCACGATATGCATGTATGAAATCTAAAAAATAATCAATTCAAATAGTGAAATGGCATATATGTGTTTAGAAATTTTAAACAATAAAATGTGATTAATAAAGGCTCAATCGGTTTTGAACACAAACAGGAATTATTATTTTTTTCGAGTTTTCGCAATCGTTTGTTTCCCTTGTCAAGCAAAGAGTATAAATGACCCGGTGTCTCGACTCTAAACCGCTGAAAACAACTCACTAAGCCACAGTGTGCCAAATCAGTCAGGTCAGTTGTCAAAAATCATTTTGCCCAATTGCACTCATATTTTGCAGGCAGATAGGGAGATTGGTAACATGTTTACCAGTTCCGCCCCTTATTGGATCTTAAATCGTTTAGAAACCCCTAGTTGCAATAATGTTACAGTTCAAAAAGGGCTTTAATTAGCAGAATATTAACCAATTGGTTCACATTAAATTGTACTTACTTTATGCTCTTCTATGGCCCGGAGAAATACCTCCGGCTCAAACTTAGGCATGACGACTAGTTTGGTTCCTAGGCAGATTGCACCAAGCTGTACCGGAACCATTCCGTAAATATGGTAAAAAGGCAGGAAACCCATGAGACATTCGGTGTTGGGATCTAGCTTCATTGGACCTCTGTTACAGACATTAACATGTAATACTATCGATGTCAATGAAATGAAATTGACCAATACATATATATAACATATATTTTACATAAAAATGCGTTTAATTTTTGCTGGTTTACTTTCTCACTCCTTGGTGGTTCGTTGTATTGATTGTCATTTTCTGTGTTGCATGTAAACGGGTATGTATGCTACACATATGTTTAGCAGTGTTGTACAAGGCAACATAAATGTATAACTATCAGAAGTTAAGTAAACATCCTTTTAACTTATAAAACGTACTTAATGTCTTGTCCTACGAATGTCCTAAACTGACTATTTAACATTCTACACTTTTACTTTCCGTTGACATTCGTAGGTTACAGTCATATGCAAAGATGTGATGGTGAATAAATACAACAAGTGTATTCATAGAATCATATGCAGTTAATAGTCATATAAATGACATGAAATCAATAACATTTTATTTGAAAATTTCATTTAAATGTTTATCACAACTGTTTAAGCTAACTAGATCAACAAATATCGGACAGAGCTCATACAAAGACTTTATTTGAGCACTGCGTTGCACCGTTACATACAGAACGTTACAACAAGGCCTAGTTACACTCTAAAGCTTGAGTGGCGAACTGTTTATCAGCCTTGTCATCGATACGATTACACACTTTTATTAATTTACTATATACCTACAATCAGAGATAAAGAGAAGGTAAATAAAGGATCTTAAATGAGTTTCAAGTTCTCTGTCAACTTATCTTAATCACTCTTGTTGGCTCGAATGGTAGGGCTCATGGGTCATAATGTAGGAGGAAACCAGAGAAAATCTACGTCATCGGGCAAATGGCCCCATACCTTTTCTCGTCGATCGAGAAATTGAACATCGGTCGTCTTGATAAAAGGTGAGTGCGCTATCCTTGCGCCACCAGACCACCCTAAAGTTTAAGTTTCCATTTCATACGAGATTTATGAAACGAGTCTAAGAATTGTTTATTTTAGCGAACCTATTGCAATATTTACAAATGAGAGCAAAGTAGCAATGAAGACATAAAGCTAGACCATACAAAGGCATGTCAGAGAGGACAGTGACCAGGGAAACGGTCTTGAAACTATCGCCTGGCCTCAAAATCTTACAAAGCTACTGGCCCAATCTCAGTCCCTGCTAATCACGAAGACTGAGGCCATCGATTGTTTGTTGTCCAGAGCAATGTACACTAGCAATAATAATGGCGTAATGCCAGATTTGAACAATGCCTTTATCTGTAATACTTCTATACCTGCAAGGAGATTGAACGCAGCTTCATGAAATATTTCGACTAACACCAAGTTTCGAAAAGACCACCAACATGGAGACGCAGATCCAATTGGTCATTATCGACGAAACTACCAATAAAATATCAAAAGGTCAACAGCTAAACATCATACTTCTTGATATAGTAAAAACTTTAAATAAAGTACCCCATTCCAGACTGCTATAGCAATTGAAACTTTGAACCCCAATCGTTTATACCAGCAAACAATACAGTTTGGCCTAGGATGAGGTATGTGGGGCTTTCTTGGAGTGGGACACACCTGATGCACTGGACGAGGTTTGCCACTAAGTTATTATGAGTAAGTTCCACACCCTTCGGCAGCCCCGTTGTTCCACTAGAGTAGGGCAATGTAAGGACATCCGTCATTGGGTCGATGACAACATTTTCCGGAAATGCCTTCCCATCATCCTCGGCCAGATTCGAGAATGGGACACACCCCTCGCCTCCCCCTATCGATATCACATGCTGGAAAATCATGATTTTTGTTAGTTAAATGTTCAAGGAAATCAACGTTTCTATTTGAAGTGTAATACATGTACAAAAAAAATCTTTACACTAATAATGTTTTCCAAGCAATGTTTAGCATGATATAATATGAAAGATAAAGGCATTAAAGAATTCTCAAAAAGATCTCAAAATGTTGTTGGGAAGCAAGGTGGCAAATTAAATGATAAGAAGTATAATGAGGTATCACTGGATATGTGTATATATATAAAATAAATAAATTTAAATCGCCTGAAAAGGCCCATAGATGGGCGAAAGCGAAAGCCGATTATACTAGTCTTCGTGTTTTGCTTTATTTATATATATAAATATATAGATTTAATTTCAATATAACACTACTCGTTTTATTTCACTTTGCTTATTGCCAATAAATAAATTCCAATGTCTCTTTTCCCTTATCTTGACAATTCCCTTAATGTTTTCTTTGGTATATCGCCAAAACCTTTTTACTGTGCAAAACATTCCCGGTACAAATTGTGGCAGTATATGATATTGACAAAGGAAAAGACAGAAAGACACAGATTTAAGATATCTAGATACAAAACCACATTTATATAAAGACAGACAGGCAGAAAGACAAACTAAAAACACATAATCTGACCTTAATGTTTTGTTTGACTTCTGGATCAGACGCCAAGGCTTTTCTCACTGTTTCCAGCATGCTTGGTAATGTAACTATGGCAACACATCCAGAATGTTTTAATTGGCGGCCAAGTTCACCTAAAAATGAACAAAAATATTTTGTAATTGCTATAGCAATGTCTTAAAATAAACTACACAATATTAGCCTACATGGCTGATAACCACACATACGAAATATCGTGACCTTGGTATTTAGGTAACCTTTATATATTTGAATTTAAATGCATATGTCCTTGATCAAATAACTTTGCTGGGTGCAGGAAATGTGGAAGGAGCTGAATTTGGCTTCCTAACAAAGAACATTCTTTCGAGCTCTTCGATTTCCGGTAAATATATTAGTTTTGCACTTATTTAAAACCCCTAACTCTACCCCCATCCCATCCCCATAATATGATATATCAATGTATTGATCCGTAAGTGATGAACTGTATGTGATGTTGACGATGATCTAGATATACAAGTGACCTACATTATCAGATGGCCACCATATACAGGTGACATCACTACATAGATGTAAGACCTTGGATAACAGGTAACGTTCTACACGTGACCTGCCAATACAACTGATATATCGTCTGATACTCTACCAGATCACAGCCCTTCACCTAAAAGTAAAACTTACTCGGAGTGTACACTGGGTTAGCGGTACTGAGTACGATCCCCGTGGCGCCACAGGCAAGGAACATTACTGGATACTCCATACAATTTCTTGCAAATATGATAATTTTATCACCCTTTTTGTACCCCATTCTCGTCAGTCCACTTGCCACGCGCACAGTTATGTCTTTCAGTTCGGATGCGGACTGTTTCCTTCCTGTTGAACTGTCTACCTGTCAGAAAGAAAAAAGAAAAAATATATAAAATGGGACATTGGATAAATTAGCGATGTCTTTGAAATGATATGTCTACCACAAATCATTGGCGTTCCTTGCTCCGAGAAACTAAATAGGTTTAACATGTGTAAATTTGTATAAAAAGTTACTTTAAATTCATTAAGATTGACTGAACATTAAATATTTTATTATATGATATGACTTTATTGAATGTAACACACAATCTTATCCTATATTTATCTTAAACCTTGTCTATTCAATCTCAATTATATCTCCCCCGAATATGTATAGGAAAGAGTGAAAATGAAATGGTCGAAATCGTCTTTTGTAGCATGATATAATTATACTTATCTCCAAATGAGATTTAGGTCTCGTGAAAAAATCCCCGCAATTTAAAAAAAAAAATGTCTTTTGTTTTTGGGGGGTTTGGGGGAATTATTTTGTTTTTTTGTTATTAATGCTAGGAATAGTGAATTTAGAACACTTAACGCTTCTACTTCACTATTTTACATGCGGGAGACAAAGAGACAGGATGAGTTGAAACAAAAATCATAAAATTTATCAGTGAACCAGACCTTTCTGGTTTGGACAGCGGTAATGCACATTCATTCATCATTCATTACTTACCAAGCACACTGGACTCTTGTGGTCATCCAGCTGTGAGAAGACGTACTCTGTAAAGGTGACTTTCGGTATATCCAGATCTTCGTATGGACTCCTGACGATGTTATTACCGTCTTTCTGCGAAAACACATCCTGCGACCTGGGTGCCCCATAGTACCAGTTAACAGGAGCACAGATTGAAGTTGTCTCCCTTTTAAGAAGTCTCTGTTCTTTGGTGGTCAAAGTTGTGATACACCTTCCATTTTGAATAATGTCCTGCTGCGCTCCAAAACATATATTGCCAGATTTACAGTGTCTTTCCAAAATCCCTTGTGTATTTCTAAACTTTTGGCAGTACCGAATGAGTTTGGAATTTAGTGACATTTTTCACCTGGCGTCTGTAATTACAAAACAAATGAATTGGAATCATTTATGGAAAAATCGAATGTCAAGATGTCACTGACCCAATTTCCATAAAAGTTTTTTTAACACAAGGAATTCCTTAACTAGCAATTTGCATTAGGAAGTATTGCTGTTCGTGACAATTTCCTTCAGATATTACCATATTCTAATAATTCTGTCCTTAAAAATGCCTTTCCTCTGGAAAAGTAAAGTTACAGAATTCCCTCAAGTTAAGAGAAGGCACGTTCGTTAAACTCGGCCTGGTGAGCTGGCACTAAGCCTATATGCATGCGGCACTCCTTGTTTTTTTATAGTAAAATATATTGTGCCTTATAACGTGGGTGTAAAGATTGACTTGTGAAAGATAAATATATAAATTTTCAAGGATCATTTCTTGTAAAGATTAACCTCCATATAATACCTTGGTAAATGACTATGCGTGATATATTCAAACACAGTAAATGGTAGCAAAAAATCAAATAGAAATAGACAGACCGCGAAATTTGTTACGTTGTCTGACACTTTGCCTATTTCTGATGACTTCATTGATTTACAGTTTGTCAGTTGTTTCAGTTAGAAATGTGTACACATGTCATTAATTGTAATTGACGACTGCATATCATTGCATTTCAGGACATCGACATCTGACACCTGTTTGTTTAAGTTCAGGTCGTGGTGACCTAGCACTAGCTAACCTAGTATCACAAGGCAAGAGGTATTTATATACATTATATACACATCATTCAATACTTTTAATATTTATAACATTGATAAAACATCGTATATATTTACAAAATTACTCTAATGCGCTTTACATTATACACAAACACTTAATGTGCAAATAACCCTAAACGTATACGTAGTTTTTACGAAACTAAAAACATGGGAATTGTCATTCCCCTTTCATAACGTCGCATTCAAAACCTGTGCTATGAGTTAAAAATCAGAGAGAGGGTTTTTTGATAGCAGATGTGTGTAACTATGCAGCTGAATCACTCGCGTTGTGATGGCTATTTAAATTGATCTCGTCGTGGAGATTTAGTAATAATACTACATGTAGTATGTAACATGGCCATCAGCGTTAAGTATTTGTAACTATCATAGCAGGAAATATGACATGATAACCAAGGTAGAATTATTATCTAATCAAACCGAATGTCTAGTGAATTTGAAATAATACCCTGTCGTTTGTCAGTAACATCGATCTGCAATTCACCATTCAGGATTTTATCAAGGACACAGGTTAACATCGTTCTGCGTTCGTACATGCAATATATATGCTTAGTCACACAAAATTGTGTCAAAATTCATATTACTGGATTATAGAGATAAAGCCATTTGGTTAGATGTTCCGTCGTTAAAACATTCAATCTGCTGACTTTAGCAAGAGTACTACTGGTTATATAGACTATACTGACATACGAGTGATTCAGGATCCTAATTTGGCATCATTCCATTATAAAAAGACATGAAAACTTGTATGTATTAATATGTATTAACGGTTAATTAGTCCAAATATATTATTACTGTACTCATATATTTAACGTGAAATGAAATTAATTACATGTATTATGAACTTTTGTGTTAGTAAACCTAAGTATGGTCATTTTCTGAATGGTTGTTTGTTTGTTCATGGTTTTGTGTTTTTGCAATAGCTAAGGCCATGTGAAAACGGTTCCATGGATGATAGCAAATATAAATATAAATATTTTGTACATATCCAAAGACATATGTAAACTGTGCTGTTTCCCTGAAATGCCACAAGCTGTATTAAGCTACTCAACCAATGAACAATATTCTGACAACTAGCTCACCATATTTACATCGGTATTATCAGCCAACACCAAAAAGATGGAGTGGAACTAATATAAACAATGTTCGAAGCCTAAAGTGTTGCATTTGTGTCTGCAGATAAACATAACACACCAAAGAAAACCGAAGTTTTAAGGAGACCCCCACATTAGTCGCTGGGACAGGTTCTCCGGTACTGTATCAGAATTTTAAAGCACTGTTGGATACACAGGATAATATATAGATTGACTATCTTATAATATTACACTGGATATAGTTCTTTTGTTTGGCAACTTCGTCTTTGCAAAAGCTATTAAAGATTCCAAGATGAGGAGCATTTTAATTGTACATAAAGCATCTGTCCTTACATTAAAAAAATCAAAATAAACAAATGCAGCATGAAGCGACATGCACAATCTAAAACTGTGATTATCATCCAATCAACCACACGTTTTGCTTGTCTGTCTGACATCAGTATATGAAATACATGTGTAACACTACCATGCTTAAGCATTAGCTTTCCATGGCCACCTATAGATCGTTGTCAAAGTTACCGTATATAAAAAGGACTCTAAGTTAGGACGTCCTTACTGTATAGTCGATCGTTCAGAAAAAAATAGAGAAACAGGGAAATAATATTACAAGATCTTTTTACTACTAGATTAAGACCAAGGGATGTATGCGGTAGATCTTAACAACAAAACAATGTAAGGATTTAAATCAAACACATCACACCAGCGATATACCCCATGTATTAGTTACCTGTATGATATAGGACGAGGTACGTGTGTATGAACACGTTCAGGGCACAAAATGGAACTATATGAGTTTGTCACCATTTTATTAGTTGTCACGATCATTGCCATTAGTTGTCAAAATCCTGGCACAGGTACTAAAGCCTCGTCTGTCAATACACCTGTACGATTACAGTATAGGTGTTTTGACAGGCGAGGCTCGTACCCGTGATCCTGGTAATGCTTTCAGCATTTTGCACTGTAACATATGGAAATCGGTATTTCAGGCAAGCATCAGTTTGTTGGAGAAGTCAAAAAAAACTTGCAATATTCAATCACAGTGTTAAAACTCGCCTTTTTAGGTCCATTTTCAACTGTAAGTGCACATGATTGGTTCTGGTTGGAAGAAGGGTAACATACTTGTAAATGCTTCTATCATTATTATAACTATGCCTCCCTATTTTCCGGAACAACATGCATTCGAATCATATCGTATAAATAAATGTATGTCTTGTTCATATATAGGACGCTTTATAAATGATGTGTATTATGATCATCCTGATCAATTTTGTCACTGATTTTGAGCGGTATGGGCAGATTAAAATGACCTGTCGCGTTATTTTTTACCTATAGCGATTTCGTTTTGTTAAGACATACCCACCTATTCACTGTTAAAAGTTATGCTAATCATTTTAGCAGAACAGTTGGTTTAATGCTATATCACTTCTGTGATATTTTTATGATTCATTTATGAATATACAAATAATGTTTGAATTTTAAGGTACTTCAGTACGTTTTTATCGAGCATGATTGGAGACACATTGAAGGCATAAACAGAAAGTCTGTAATTAATGGTCCACCTATCAATCCATTTGCTTATAGATCGTTACAGAAACATGTACATCGTGTGTAACCTTGAGTGTAACCTTGATGACCACAGCAATCTCTCTCGAGTAGTGGTATGTTTCATAATATATGATAAACACACTTTACATACTATTTAATTTGAAATTAACTAGAGGGATTTTACACACCTGTCTCTCTGTTTCAACAATAGTCTAGAGTTATTTTGATTTCCAAATATTTGGCTCCTATCATCACCGATGAGCCTTAAAAGAACGAAATAGCTGTATGGTGCCATGTTAATTATTTTTGACTTACTTTATCATTCACAAAATGTCTTTCAGATGAAATCATCTGATCTTAGAAAAGAGGAATAGTTTAGCAAATTAACATGCTGAAAATGCTCAGTTGGAAGGTCGAAAATCGGGAGTCTCCAGTCTTCATAGGAGAGCTGGCAAGTATGGTGTAAACGCATTGTGTGTGTGTTACGTGTATCTTCAAATACAATCAAGCAAAGTAAATTGATCATATAGGAGTGAAAACGTCCACGTAGGTTGAATAGTGTTCACGCCAAAAATTATTAATTATGTTGTGCAAAATCTGTATGCAACTAAGTAGCTACAGGTATAAGGTGGCCGCTTATAGTTAGACACCCGTTTATGGCAAGTTATAAATACATTTTACCTTAACAAACAAAAAACCACTTCACATGATAATATCCTAAAATCTCGAAAATAAGCTACGACTTTATTTATGTAGTAAGGAATCCCAATTAGCTCGAAGACCATCTATTTTCAATCAGGCTTATTGTTTAGATACTACGAGAATAGTATATTCAGATAGAGCTGCTTTTATATATTCAATTTATGTTTCTATTATACATTTTGACAGTGTGTTGATAACAGATGTTATGCACATTTCATACATTATAAAAGAATGCAGTACGGTTATTCTCTATAAATAGTTTTGGATTCAATTATTTTCCATGCTATTTATTTTTAATTATCTTATTCTTATTAATCAATATCATGAATTCACTTATTGAATAATTCCTAAAAAGGATATTTTAGAAATCCTTCGGAGATCCTAAATTTGTATGTACAGCTATTCCGTCTTTGCATATTGCAGAGTTATCTTCTCTTGGGAGCAGGTATTGATTGTTACGTCACTTGTTTGTGAGAGTAACGTCATCAATTTTTGAGAAAACGACGTAATTTTCTCACACAAACCAATGACGTAACAATCAATACCTGCTCCCAAGAGAAGATAACTCTGCAATACGCAAAGAAGGAATATACACTGACCATGTGGTGACCACGTGATTTTGTTTACAAGCAACATCAGCAATATAGCCAAGTTACACTGGCCATTCGATCAGCTGATTGCTCACCACCATGTGACCCGGCTTTCAAATTGGTCACCTGAGGCCTTTAAAACAATTTAAATGTTAAATAGTCCTAACCAACTATCGCTGTACTGTTTGACATTTGTCACGTATAGATCTATTTATTTCTTTTGAATACTTGAGTTGTGACGAAGTAGATTTATATTACTAGCCGAGGAAGGTTATTTCCCGAATGCAGTTTACAAAATTTAGCTTGCAAAACAACGTTCCCAAGTCTTGGCTTAGCCTTTAAGAAAACAAATGTGTAAGTATACATATATCATTCATTCATTCTTTATAAGACACGTCCGTTATCTCAAACTCACAGTCAAAATCTGGGTCATATTCTACAAGAACCGCTGATTCTGCTATCGACGTATTAAACCAGTTAAACTTCTGTTTACTATATCAGAAGCTATAGCAATGATATATTGTTCTTTTGCACTTTGCAGATGTTGTTGACAAGCTATACTTACCTTCGATTTGACCAAGACACTAGCACGCAGGCGGTACATCAAGCTATAGCCAGCTGATCTGATCCAGCAGTTTGACCTATATACACGGAGCGCCGTACAAACAGAAGCCTTATTTAAATTATATGGAACGCCATATCTGCCTTGAGTCACCCTAAAGGATCCTTACAATCGTATCAGCACGGACTTAGATAGACTTAATCTAATTCCATGGTATAAGTATCGTATGGGGATGCGTATTTGAAAGGGGTCGATCGACCATAAATCATAAAAGTTGGTAAGAAACATTGCATTTCTGTTTTCTTTATAATTAGGGAGCGGCTATTATTTATCAATGTTGGTGAAATATTATTGAAATTATGTTCACGTTTCAGACAAGTAATTATTATTTATCTATGATGGTATAATATTATTGATTTTTTTTTTCATTTTCATTTTGCAACAAACATTCTGTATTATAATATTTTTACTTGTATATAGTTGACATCTTGTCATAATGTCCCATATGTAGGTGAAATAATCTTTCTGATCTGCGAGATATTCGAAAAACAGAATGCGCACGTGTTGGTTCCAGGGTTTGGTATCCGAACAGAGGTCAGCTTTATACTTATTTAGACTGTATAAAAACTTATGTTTAATACATTGTCCGTGTGTCTATTCGTATGGAGTTCAGTGCGATAGTTCTCAGTGTACAGTTATATTGTCTTTTCATTTCATTTCCTTCTTGATCAATCTCCCCTGTCCGTATTTACCGCTGGTTTATAGATAGAGATACACGCTTGCTTGCTGCATATTTTCGTCTACCAAATACATTTACAAACAAAGCATGGTTGCTCACCCGAAATCCGTATAGTATACTCCTTTAAGTAAAGCTATCGCAGGTTTGAAAAAAATATAGTAATGCATTAATAATTTAAATAAATGTATAGACTGTGGGATTTTTTTCTTACACGTCACGTGAACCTATAGCTATAACTACATGTAATAGCATAGTACATGATATGGACACTGATACTGTTTTATTTACATGATAAAGGAAACTAAATCTTTCAAACGTTAAACATATATAAAACCGTCACTAGTATCACCAGAGTGTCAATAGCGACTGCCTTTATGATATGGAAGGAACGCCGTATCACTGTCTGCCAAATGTTACATAATATATAACGTCGTATCTGCCTAATGTTACATAATATAGAACGTCGTATCTGCCTAATGTTACATAATATAGAACGTCGTATCTGCCTAATGTTACATAATATAGAACGTCGTATCTGCCTAATGTTACATAATATAGAACGTCGTATCTGCCTAATGTTACATAATATAGAACGTCGTATCTGCCTAATGTTACATAATATAGAACGTCGTATCTGCCTAATGTTACATAATATAGAACGTCGTATCTGCCTAATGTTACATAATATAGAACGTCGTATCTGCCTAATGTTACATAATATAGAACGTCGTATCTGCCTAATGTTACATAATATAGAACGTCGTATCTGCCTAATGTTACATAATATAGAACGTCGTAACTACCTAATGTTACATAATATAAAACGTCGTATCAGCCCAATGTTACATAATATAGAACGTCGTATCAGCCCAATGTTACATAATATAGAACGTGGTATCTGCCTTATGTATCATAATATAGAACGTCGTAACTGCCTAATGTATAATAATATAGAACGTAGTATCTGCCAAATGTTACATTATATGGAACGTCGTATCTGCCAATGTTACATAATATAGAACGTCGTATCAGCCCAATGTTACATAATATAGAACGTGGTATCTGCCTTATGTATCATAATATAGAACGTCGTAACTGCCTAATGTATCATAATATAGAACGTGGTATCTGCCTTATGTATCATAATATGGAACGTCGTAACTGCCTAATGTATCATAATATAGAACGTCGTATCTGCCTAATGTATCATAATATAGACATTATATGGAACGTCGTATCTGCCAATGTTACATAATATAGAACGTCGTATCAGCCCAATGTTACATAATATAGAACATGGTATCTGCCTTATGTATCATAATATAGAACGTCGTAACTGCCTAATGTATAATAATATAGAACGTAGTATCTGCCAAATGTTACATTATATGGAACGTCGTATCTGCCAATGTTACATAATATAGAACGTCGTATCAGCACAATGTTACAAAATATAGAACGTGGTATCTGCCTTATGTATCATAATATAGAACGTCGTAACTGCCTAATGTATCATAATATGGAACGTCGTATCTGCCCAATGTTACATATTATAGAACATCGTATCTGCCTAATGTATCATAATATAGAACGTCGTATCTGCCTAATGTATCATAATATAGAACGTCGTAACTGCCTAATGTATCATAATATGGAACGTCGTAACTGCTTAATGTATCATAATATAGAACGTCATAACTGCCTAATGTTACATAATATAGAACGTCGTATCTGCCTTATGTATCATAATATAGAACGTCGTAACTGCCTAATGTTACATAATATAGAACGTCGTAACTGCCTAATGTTACATAATATAGAACGTCGTAACTACATAATATAGAACGTCGTATCTGCCTAATGTTACATAATATAGAACGTCGTATCTGCCTAATGTAACATAATATAGAACGTCGTAACTGCCTAATGTATCATAATATGGAACGGCGTAACTGCTTAATGTATCATAATATAGAACGTCATAACTGCCTAATGTTACATAATATAGAACGTCGCATCTGCTTAATGTATCATAATATGGAACGTCGTATCTGCCCAATGTTACATAATAAGGAACGTCGTATCTACTTAATGTTACATAATATGGAACGTCGTAACTGCCCAATGTTACATATTATAGAACGTCGTATCTGCCTAATGTATCATAATATAGAACGTCGTAACTGCCTAATGTATCATAATATGGAACGTCGTAACTGCTTAATGTATCATAATATAGAACGTCGTAACTGCCTAATATATCATAATATGGAACGTCGTAACTGCTTAATGTATCATAATATGGAAGGTCGAAACTGCTTAATGTAACATAATATAGAACGTCGTAACTGCTTAATGTATCATAATATGGAACGTCGTAACTGCTTAATGGATCATAATATGGAAGGTCGAAACTGCTTCATGTAACATAATATAGAACGTCGTATCTGCCTAATGTAACATAATATAGAACGTCGTAACTGCTTTATGTATCATAATATAGAACGTTGTAACTGATTAATGTATCATAATATGGAACGTCGAAAATGCTTAATGTATCATAATATAGAACGTTGTAACTGATTAATGTATCATAATATGGAACGTCATAACTGCTTAATGTATCCTAATATAGAACATCGTAACTGCCTAATGTATCATAATATGGAACGTTGTAACTGCTAAATGTATCATAATATGGAACGTCATAACTGCTTAATGTATCCTAATATAGAACGTCGTAACTGCCTAATATATAATAATATGGAACGTCGTAACTGCTTAATGGATCATAATATGGAAGGTCGAAACTGCTTCATGTAACATAATATAGAACGTCGTATCTGCCGAATGTTACATAATATAGAACGTCGTAACTGCTTAATATATCATAATATAGAATGTCGTAACTGCCTAATGTATCATAATAAGGAACGTCGTAACTGTTTAATGTATCATAATATGGAACGTCGAGAATGCTTAATGTATCATAATATAGAACGTCGTATCTGCTTAATGTATCATAATATGGAACGTCGAGAATGCTTAATGTATCATAATATAGAAAGTCGTAACTGCTTAATGTTACATAATACTGCTTAATGTATCATAATATGGAACGTAGTAACTGCCTAATGTAGCATAATATGGAACGTCGTAACTGCTTAATGGATCATAATATGGAAGGTCGAAACTGCTTCATGTAACATAATATAGAACGTCGTATCTGCCGAATGTTACATAATATAGAACGTCGTAACTGCTTTATGTATCATAATATAGAACGTTGTATGTGGCTTATGTATCATAATATGGAACGGCGTAACTGCCTAATGTATCATAATATGGAACGTCGAGAATGCTTAATGTATCATAATATAGAACGTTGTAACTGCTTAATGTATCATAATATGGAACGTTGTAACTGCTTAATGTATCATAATATGGAACGTCATAACTGCTTAATGTATCCTAATATAGAACGTTGTAACTGCCTAATGTATCATAATAAGGAACGTCGTATCTGCCTAATGTATCATAATATAGAACGTCGAAACTGCCTAATGTTACATAATATAGAACGTCGTATCCGCCTAATGTTACATAATATAGTAATATATCATAATATGGAACGTCGCATCTGCCCAATGTTACATAATAAGGAACGTCGTATCTACTTAATATAACATAATATGGAACGTCGTAACTGATAATATGGAACGTCGTAACTGCCTAATGTCACATAATATAGAACGTCGTGTATCTGCCTAATGTTACATAATACAGAACGTCGTATCTGCCTAACGTATCATAATATAGAACGTCGTAGCTGCCTAATGTAACATAATAAAGAACGTCGTATCTGCCTACTGTAACATAATATAGAACGGCTAATCTGCCTAATGTGACATAATATAGAACGTCGTCTCTGCCTAATGTAACATAATATAGAATGTCGGAACTGACTAATGTAACATAATATAGAATGTCGTAACTGCCTAATGTAACATAATATAGAATGTCGGAACTGACTAATGTAACATAATATAGAATGTCGGAACTGACTAATGTAACATAATATAGAATGTCGTATCTGCCTCATGTAACATTATATAGAACGTCGTATCTGGCTAATGTAACATAATATAGAATGTCGTAACTACCTAATGTAACATAATATAGAATGTCGTATCTGCCTCATGTAACATTATATAGAACGTCGTAACTGCATAATGTTACATAATATCGAACGTCGTATCTGCTTAACGTATCGTAACTGCTTAATGTATCCTAATATAGAACGTTGTAACTGACTAATGTATCATCATAAGGAACGTCGTATCTGCTTAATGTATCTTAATATGGAACGTCAT